CTGTCAGCTGCAAGTGCAGGTCATCCGAGGAGTTCAAACAGCTGACACAATCGGTGTCATGTGGAGATGGAGATGGGGCAACCGCACAGACACTAGCACACGGGCACGCACAGTGCGGAAAGAAGCATTTACCGATCTCGTTTTCGTTTCGTTTTCCCGATCTCGATCTCAATATCTCGATCCCGTCTCTGGGGCAATGTTACGTTGTCAAAGTCCGGACATCAACTAAACTACAATTAATTTCAGATGCGCTCAGCTCGGCGCAGGGCGAAGCGACGACACTCAATGCCCGCACACCATCGTGCTGAGATACAGCACGCAGGTACTCAACTCGGCGTACACCGGCGGCCAATAAAATAGGCATGCGTTTAGCACCCACAATCTGCTTTCATCATTGAAAATTAAAAAATAAGCTATTCAAAGATGTAGTATGCGTTCCGTAGCTAGCTTGAGAACTCAGGTGTTCTACCCAGAATATTAATATTAATTCATTGAAAACAAGTTAGGTTCAAATTACTTTTTAAATTTGAAAGATAAAATGCTCTTTTAAAAAACTCGAACTATTTTACAGATTTCAGTAAATCATTTTTAAAGTCTTTCCGAGTGTTTTAGAAATATGTTTTCACCAAAATTGGACCCACGAAGGGAGTAAGGGGGCTCAAACGCTTTTGGGAGGTTAAAATTTTTTTAGGTAGGTAAGATACACCGGACATGACATTTTATACTAAAATCTCTTTTATCATGACCACCGCTGTGGACAGAAAGGGAAAAGGAAAGGGCCCTCTGGTTATAGCGAATTTCAAATAGAATGGCTCTGAGAGAATCGCAGATACAGGAAAGGGAGAGAGTGAGGGATGCCAGAGCTACGGAGAGCGAGGGTGTTTTTGCTGTCGAGAAACACGCATTTGTAGCCGTTAATGTAGTTGTCGCCTGTTAGCAAACACACGTTGGGTAAATGAAAATGCAATTTAGGTAGTCGACTGCTTTTCTCGCGAACATGTCTTTGCAAGCAGCATGTACAGATGAAAGGAAACGCAAAGAGAGCCAGGGTCAAGGTGTGGAGAAATAAGAGGATCAAGGAGCTGAGCAGAACCGAAACGGTAATACCGATCAGGTACTCGAGATATGTCCTTGCCAGGGCTGTAGACAAGCCAAAAACTGGTTGAATTTATGACTACAGCAGAGGTACAAAAGATATTAAGTATTGAAAATGCAATAAGTGCGATCTTTGACTCATTTAATAACAAAAATAATTATCCACCAATCTCATGAGCATTAAGGGAAGACTTTCCAAATACCGAATACCAACAAACATTAGACCAGGTCTTTAGAGATTTGAGAGGGGACCATTTTAAACTAAAACGTTTTGAAATTCCTGGAGTTTTAACAAACAGATGTTAGAAGTTTTCAAACTTTATATTATTTTTTGGACACGCTTTATATTTTAACAACGTAAAACTTTGCCTTTAGCCTTGATCTATCTCAACACACACCCAAAACATGTATAAAAAGATTTTTTTTTATGTTTGCAATATTAAATATAATCCTAGGAATGAGAGATTTCTTGTTATTATTTAATTGTTATAGATATAAAAAGAAGGCTTATTATTTCGAATCCCCACTGTTTCAATATTTAGCTTTTCTCTAGTTCAACTGCTTGGACCGGCTAGTGCAGCCTACGTCGTAATCTTTAAATGTTAAACCGCACAGCAGCAGCACCAACAACAACAATGACAGCGAATGGCTGAAATACTTAGCTAAAAGGCTAAAATTAGCAGCCAACTGTGAGTTTTGAACGTTGACGCCGGCCGGGCAGACAGCATCCAAAGGGGGAGGAGCGGGACAGAACGCGAGAGCAGTAATGAATGAGCGGCGAGATGGAAAAGACGGCCTTTCGTTTTGGAGAGCTTCATAAACAATGACAATTGTGGGGCTCTTTCTCTCAAGTTCTCAAGTTCGCTCTTACTCGGAAGATTCAAGGTTAACGGTTTCTCGCCTTGGGGCTAGAGGCTATCTCACTGCCTGCTTGTACTGCTTCTCCACTGCTTAATACAAGCAGTGTTAACTGCTTAACCCAAAGAGCTCCAAGTTTAAAAATTTAATTTCTAAGCGTTTGTAATTCGCATTCTAGGCGATCTGACGTCAGACCCCGATAAAAGCAAAAGCTCTGGGTGCTCATGACTTGCCATCTCTTATCTCTTATTTCTAATTGCAGACAAGTTATCGCTAGCCATGGCTTTAAGTCATTTCTACTGGCTTATCATTGTTATTTTGCAATTTAATGCAAATTTTTCGCATATATGAATATACTTTTTTTCGGCGCTGAATTAGCACAGGCCAAAAAAATGCCGTCGATGATCTAATCGATTTTGGCTGGAAGTATAAAATTATATATATAGACAACAAGAAAACATGTCGACCAACGCACGTAGCATTTCTCTTTTGGCCGTTACTCATTCTAGTTCTTATGGCAGTCCAAAAAAAGAATGAAAGAAAGACCTAAAGACCGTTGGCTTAGATAGTTATATCTTTTGCTTTAATAACAATGGTGTCACGTCTAAAATTCTATTTTCAAGGCCTAGAAAGAACTCAAATAAAGATGCAATTAACCAACGTTTCATTTTTAAGAGTAATCATTACAACACTGATTGAAAAGTGCAATTTTGAGTTTGAAAAAAACACAAGCTGGCACAATGGGTGATTAATCATTATTCTTAACGCTAGACTTGTTATGAAAACATAAATATCTAATTAACAGTTTTACATTCACCAGGCAACCGCCGCTTTGCTGGCTCTTTCTTTATGGCCAAGTCCGGCATTTGGAGAATGTTAATGTGGGCCGACTTCCCGACTGACTGACTCGATTATCCAAGTATTCGAGTGTTCACAGTGGGCAGTGCACAGCGAACAGCACTCAAGCTCTTGGCCATTTCCAAATTGGGAATTGCACTTGGGCGAAAACGTAGAGAAAACCACAGGTACATGTCTAGCCACTCGTGCAAATTATATTTTAGCCAATAGAGGAGAAAAGTAATGTAGAGAAGGGGATTGAATATTTATTGAAACTTGGAAGCATAACAAGCTCCAAAAATTTGTTCTTGAAGTTATATTCATTATCTGGATCTAAATAAGTTTATTTCAAAATGATCCTTTTACAACTTGAAATGGTTAGTCCTCAAATCTTTAACTGTTTTTAATTTTTCTTTTGTTTAATATATTATAAAAGCATTTGGTAAAATGGAAAGCCTATAACATTCTGTAGTTGTATGATCGTAAGAATACAAAATTGTAGTTATTTATGGCATCATTCTATAAATATTTTAAGACATTTGGTTGAAATTATCATGAAATATATTTACAAATGGCTAAGTATAATTAAAACAGAACATAAAAATACGGTTTGTTAATTAACTGCCAGTTTAAATGATTTTATAGATTGTGATCAGGTATTCTGAACATCACAAAGCTAATAAAAAGGCGATTAAATGTGAAGCCAAAGTCCAATAATAAGTATGACTAAAGCAAGCACTCAAAAATGCATGATTAGCGAGTGATTTTTAATAATAACTGCAAACCTTAGACGAATGCCAACTAAATGCGAATTAGTCATAACAAAGGCGAATAATTTTTACAGTCAAAAGCTGATTAAAAATGGTATACTAAATGAAAATGCATATGTACAGATATATGTATGAATACCTATAGAAAGTGCATGGAGCGACGTTTAGACTAAGCTCAGATTGCATGCGAGGCCTTTGCCCCCTCTCCCCCTCCTCTTTCCACCCCTTCTCTCCGGCGGGGAAAATGGCAGACGCCCCATATCAGTTTGCAATTTGCAGTTGTGAAATGGTTTTTGTGAATATAAATACACAGTCAAGACTCTCGAAGTCGAATTTTTCTAACTGATTTATTTTTAAAATCAAGAAATATTAATAATAAATATGTCAACTATATGTTTGTAACAAAATTAAATTTAACCTTGTTTTTATAAAATTAGACATTGGACTTATTGACGTTTACAGTTAAAATATTGAAAACATTTTTGATCATACTGAAAAGCTTCTTAAAAATATGTTTTGTATTAAGGTTAAGCTTTGGATATTTGGAAAAATTGGTGTACCCAACATTTAGGACTTTCGAATTAAGAATTTTAACTTCAATATTTCGTAATTTTGCAAGTTTTTAAGTTCGAGTTGGACTGTAGTGGCGGTAAAGTTGGGTTGGCTTAGCATGCGATCCGATTACGGTTACCGCTCTTAACGCTCACCGCTTCAGTGAAAATCGTTTGGCTGGCGGGTAACTGAACTATATGAAAACGACGGCTAATTACAATGCGACCGGACTGGCAACTAACTCTAAAAGAGGGGAGGGTAAATGGGAGTTGATTGAGGAGGCGTGGCAGCTACCCCCGTGAGCATTATAAAAATGCAAATTATTTTAAGATACCCTCCAGGTGAAAGCTGCATAAAACTGGAAAACAATAAAGCCAAAAAGTGAACCTTAGGCATATCCAAAAAAAGTGTTTTAAAAATAATAATAATAATAATTAACAATCGTTTCAATATTTATGCTTGCCTTTTACATAGCTTTCTCCTCAACTTATGTATAACATTGCCCTACAAAAGTACTGAGAGTGAACAAATAAAAAAAGTCATAGATAGAGCGTACACATCCAGAGACAATGCAGAGCACTCGAAAGGATATGCGGAATAATGTGGCATACTTTCCGGGGTACTGCTTGTAAAATGTAAAGCGACAGCAACACAAAGCCTGTCATTTGTACTTGTGTTTGGGGCTTAACCGAAATGGGGAGCACAACAATGCAACAACAACAATAATAATAACAAAAAGGACAACGGGGGTGACTCGATGACATCATCATAACGCATATTGACAGTCGGCGTGTACGATTTGTACAGTTACAGTTTAAGGGCTAAGGGGCCGCACCGCGGTCAAGCAGCACAATCGCGGGCACACAGTTTTAGCGGCACTGAACTTACCTTGCGGGTGCAAACGTTCGGGCTTGAACCAGGCATCTGCAAATAGGCGATTGATATATTGATTTTCGTTAGTTAGCAGTTAGTCGAGGTGCAAAGAGATAATGAAAACAGGAAAGGAAAAAGATGGCGTGCAAAGGCGGTAAACTAAAAACAATACATCAATGCAAAAGCGGTTAAAGGAAAGTTAAGGAAAAAGCAGGACATTCCTCTAAATAAAGTAGAATTTAAGCAGTTTTAAAGGGAAGAAGTTAAAAGCAAATTTACAAATATATCTTACAGAAGCCTAAAGTTCACTTGTACAACAAACTATTTACTAAATAGAACAATTATACAATCCTTAAATATTAAACTACCACCCATGCCACCATTGTCAGAGGTTAGTTTTGTTGTTTTTTCTTTTTATCTTATTTCCCAATTTCGGGGTGAGTTTCGTTTTGGGGTAATTTTTTTCTTATTAATGCGAGTACCACTTACTGGGATCGAGTATGGAGCAAATCAATGGACGATGCTTGCACACGCCATTCTGACCGGTTTCGCCAAATGCAGACATGATTCCGATTTCGATTTTGGCTTGTTCAATACACTATTTGTGTGCACTACGAGTTATCCTTTTTCTGGATAGTAACTTTTCGGTTTTCCCGTTTTATTCGATTGTTTTCGTTCGACAAAAGCACAGCGCAGAAAGAGAGAGAGCGGAGAGTACGGTATTACGACGTGAAGGTATTACGCTTTAAGAATTTTCACTTCCGTGTGGCGGCCTCACGACGCGTATAGAGACTGAAACGTATCGGCAAAAGCTTCAGCGCGAATGGCAGGTCGAGGAGTCGAATCTCGCCTCCAAAAAAAGGACAACCCTAAGCTCAGGGCGTCGGCGCCGAGAGAGAGCCATGGAAACTGCAGAGAGATAAATGGGAGATGCCCCCTACTGTGCCCACTTACGTTTACAGTGAAACTTTCCTATTTCAAATTACCCATTCCTTAAACCGTAAAATATTACGATATCTACTGATTTCAAATCTTTTAAAGTATGCAATAAAAATAATAAAAATCTATAAGGAAACGTAATCTGCAAATGTATTCCTATTTTAATAACGTAACTTCAGATTAGAATTATATTTTATTATTAGAATTATTATTGGCTGACAAAATTAAAGTCTATAACAGTTTCGAATTAGAATTTGACTAACATTCTAGTTAACGAGGCTCTACAGTAATCGCACCGAGGTTCTACCGTAATGAGAGGGCAACCGCAAGACGCGCCAAGTTGAGCAACCGCGCTTAGCCCTGAACTCGGTGTCTCAGCGGCTGAAGTCAAGTTGGGAAAAGCTCGAGAGTTCGGGGCAAAAAGTATAGCGCCCATCGATTTCACCTATTGCAGCTGACCTGCCTGTAGAGTGGAGACTTTTTCCGCGGGAGACTTTTCCCTTTGTGTGTCGGGGCGCATGCGTCGCCCCTGCGGGAGTCTTGTTTTCACTTGCCCACCACCCACTAAGTGGGCCGGAAATTACCAGACGTTGGCAACTTTTGGGTGCGGTGGGTGCAATCGAGCTGCAGATGCTGTTGCTATTACCTCCACCTTCCTCACCCCCTGCCCTCTGACCCCGCCCTACAGTTGCGTGCGGCGTGAAAATTAGAAAGGAAATCAATCAACTGACACACTCGGAACGCATTTCCTATTTTTTCACCCGATTGGTTGTCTTTAAAATCATTGCCCCACTTTGTCAAATATACGCTTTTGGCCAACGACCAAGTTATGACACAAAAACGCTTGACGCATTTCATATGTGCTGCCAAATCGGCAAACTTCTTCGGACTGCCTTGGGCGGGTTAGCACAGTCCTGGCCAGATGAAATCGATACTTTGCAGTAGGATTACGGAAGCATGTTTTCCTGTACGAATTCAAATGGTACGAATACCAAAGCTTTCACAATAATTCGATTTGTATTGGATACATTTGACCTATATTAGCAATACATTTAAAAAAGACACAAAGGATGAAGGGTAAATCAAAGAATGAAATTTTCTGGAAACGAATAAATTTAATATATTTCGCTTGGAAAATCTTATTAAAAAAATGCTTGTAAATATTCATATATAAACAATTCTTTGGCAGCAACTTTTAGACTCTGAACATGGCTAATCATTTAAAAGACCATAACATTATCGTATAAATGCACTCACAAAAAAAACAGGAGATCAAAGAATTTATTTTCTTTAAAGTAATGAACATATGTATCATTTGACCGATTAATTCCACCACTGCACTGACCATATTGTTTTTAGGTTATCTTTGACCCACGCTCAATAACTTTCTTAATATAGAGCACCTCGTTCGGGGATTCCACTCATCGCCATGTGGTCCTCACTCAGTGGGCTAAAAAAGTCGATTTCCCCCCACTTTATGGATCCCTACTGCGTGGGAGATGCAATTAACCAAAAATAATCTTTAAAACAATTCCACAGAAAGAAACGTTGTTTACTCAGTACCGATTTTCTGCTTTCCGCCTTTCTCTGTCCACCAACACAACACAATAAAATAAATAAAGCAAGTGTATTTCTTCGGACTGGAGGGAATTATTATGGTTAATATACACAGATGTGTACAGCTGAAGTGTGCCGATATCGGAGCTGCCAGTGGACTACAGTTGGACAGAAGTCGCCAAAGGCGATAATGCGGGGCGATAAGGTGGATGCTAAACCAGCGGGGAGATGGAATGGAAAAATCCAAGTCCAAAACGAAATCAATGGCAATGGCAAATTGGAAGACAAAAGCGCAGTGAAGACAAAAGAACAAGGCAAATATCTATGTGCCCAGCTGAGATGGTAATAAAAATAGCCGCATAATCGCAGAAAAGGGATGCGGACAGACTGCAGCCGGAGGCGTCGATGAAAATCACTAATTGGAAACTGTTTTTCCGCAGTCTGTGGCATGGAAAATGGAAGCGTATGTATTAGCACTGACAAAGCACTGAATAATCCAATGGCTTAATTTAGCCCACTGAGGGGCTGTCGAAAGGTAGTAGAAAAACCAGAGCTGGCCGAATAGTAGCAGAAATTACTACGCAACAATAAATTACTCTGCCGCAAATTGCTTTAATGGACACGAAACTAAAACAGAAAAAAAGAATAGTAATGAAATATAATGAAATATGAACGGGCAATGTGTACGTCAATGGAGGCAGTCACTCGGGCTGGGTACAAAATGGTATATATATGTGTATATAGAGAGCGTTTGGAATGGTGGAGAGGTTACGGAGCAGCTGATTCATGCCGCCAAAGTATCTCAGTCGGCAATGGTGAAACTGGCTTCGAGAATGTTGGCCGCTTTTATACTACACAGACGTGATGAGTTGCCCGTCTTAGATTAGTTATGCAACTCACCACTTTTGTTGTTCTAAGGTTTACTTATTTACCCCTTTCTTTATAACTTGTTGTGTAATTTTCCGTAGGATTTAGCTCCCTACCAATTAAATTGTTTTCTATTTGCTTTGTTGAAAACGGTAAATATAGCGGTCATTATACACTTAAGGGCTTATAGTTTCAGTTATTTAATTGTAAAAGCAGATCAAACTTGATTGAAGAATATTTCTAAAATTTTATGGTGTCATTTTTTTAATTTTCAGCTTCTTTTAAGAACATACGCTTCCTCCTTAACCTTGAAATATTAATTTTAAATTATATATATTTATAATACAAACTTAAAAGTAACATTTATTTGAATAGTATAAATTGTGATCTTAAATCATATTAAATTAAATCAGTGAAATAGAAAAAAACAGCTGGTGTGGCTTATAGCGAACGAGCCCTGTATTCACCAGTCACAACCTTCTCTGTTCGCGGCATTCAAATGAGCGTGAATCACGCGGTGACGATCGATTTGCGAAAAATCTATGAAAACTGTGAGAAAGCCGGCAAAAGGCGGCTGCTGTTCAAATGGCGAATGATTAATGTGAGGCCGGGAAAAGAGAAAAGGTGGGTTCAAAAGAGAGTCCCCGGCACTGCGAATCTTCTAAGCTATTAAATTTCTCCGCATTGCGATATAAAATACATTTAATAAGAGAGCCCGCAAAAGCCGATGACATCATGGACAGAGTTTGGGAAAAAAACCGCAGAGAAGAGAGCGGCGAAATGACTAACGCACAAATGTGGGGGCGGCGGCCCAAGAGGAGGACCAGGGAAAGGGCGTGGGATGCAAGGTGCGCCGCAAGGACACTACAAACAAACATCAAAATAATACTCTAATGACGACATTGCAACATAATACTCAAATGACGACGGGGGCACAACAAATTAATTAGAAACGCAATGATAACGGGTATAAAATGGGTATCTCTGGCAATAAAACTCACCCAATCCATATTTGTAGAAGATCTCCTCCACGGACACAATCTTGGGCTGCGGCGGCGACGATTCAGCTGGCACTGGAACAGCCTTCGGCTTGGGCGGCTCCTCCTTGGGCTTGGGCGGCTCTGGTTTCGGTTCGGGTGCGAGTGCGGGTGCCTTCGGTGCTGGTGCGGGTGCCTTCGGTGCCTCCTGGACGCTGGGCTTGAACACCACCTCCTCGTCATCCAGGTCGGTTACCAAAGCGGTTGTCACGGGAACAGCCACTGGAACCGGCGGGGGTTTGGCAACTGGCGCCACAGGAGCAGCAACAATGGGAGTGGGAGCCGGAATGGGTGCGGCTGTCACCGCTGTGCGTGGCTCCTCCTTGAAATCACTGAGCAGATCCTCCGACGAAATGAACTTCTCGTTGTCCTGCTCCTTCAAGGCATCCACTATGGGTTTTTTGGCCGGCGAGGGAGTGTACGAGACGGACGGTGATTCGGTATCTGAATCCTGGTTGGCATTGGTCAGTGGAGCAGCTGGAGTAGCCGAGCTGGGCGGCTTGCCCAGGAAGTCATCCTCCTCGTCGTCATAGAAATTGGCCTTGGACGGTGCTGTGGGCTGGAAGGCCTGGAGCGGAGCCGAGGGCTGGTCACTGAAGCTGCCCAGCAGATCATCCTCCACGGGCACAGGAGCTGGAACAGCAGGAGCGGAAGTGGGTGCCACTGGTGCTGGAACCACTGGAGTTGGGGCCACCGCCACTGGAGCAGGTGCCTCTGCGAACTGTGCCAAGGGAGCCGCGAAGCCCCGCTCGGCGTTCATAAAGTCAGTGGTCAGTCCAGAGATGCCCTGTTTGATCTCCTTTCCGGCATCGCTTAGGAAGCCCTCGAAATCGTCGACCTCCTGGGCGAACTTTGAGTCCAGCTGCTTCTGCGCATCCTTGGCGCCGGCGGACACGCGCTGCCCGAAGGCCTGGGGATCACCAAAGTCCAGGTTCTTTTGCTCGTTGGCGAAATAGTGCTCCGTATGGGCATTGTCGTCCTGGGCGCCACCGCTCACGTTCCCAGCATCGCCGCCGAGTCCTGAGTCCTCGTAGGCCTTCTGTGCCCGCTGGAAAATGTCCTCGTTGGTGGCCGCCGCCTCCTTCTTCAGTTCGGCAAAGTTCACATCCATTTTTTCCAGTTTTATTTTTTTTGTAGAGGAATCAGTTAACAATTTTCACTGACGTTGTTCGGATATCCTGGCTTTCTGATTGGAGCCTCACAGACACACGCACACACAGTCGAGATGTCTCTGACTCGCACACACACACACAACGCACCCGCACACACGGGCTACAGCTGATTTCGCCGGTTTCAAATTTTTGGCAAATCTAATTTCACTGGTTTATTGCGAAGAAAGCCGCAAATCGTCGTGATTTATGCTCGGATATGTGATGCGGTACGTTAAATTTGGTTTTGAACTACAGCGACCTTTTGCAGGCGCCGTCGATGCAGTCGTTTGAAAATTTTCAATGGACCTGCGCTAGAGCTGGAACAAAACTCGATGACTGTTCGATAAGGTCCGAGTGTAATCGATACATCGATTTCTCCAGACAGTTGAGTTTCAAACCTAGGTTGTGGGCATTGCTAATTGTTTAGCCATGACACGAACCTACTCGTGAGTTGGGTCTGCGAAAAAAGCTAAAATATTTACTTTTAGCTAGAATACACAAAATTTAAATATTGGCAAAGGCATTCCTTATAAAAAAAATAGGTTTTAGCCCTAATAAGTTGATAAGTCCTTTTGTAATGAAAACATAAAGTTTGGGAAAACAACTTACAGGTAAATTACTATCTTTCATCAGTTAATTTGTTTTCAACTTGAGAACCACTCTTTAAGTTTAACTTTGTGCTCATAGCCTTAAGTTTTAAGGAAAAAGTGGTTACTGCAACCTGAAATATTAGAATTAAACCAGATGGATAGACTCACATAAAATCCATGCAGTTACTTCTAGGCTTTGATTTATTAAAACGATACAACCATTGTTAGGCGGTCCACTTCAGGCATCGAGTGTCTTGGTGTGTTTTGAGGCACCGCACGCGGCAGTATCGCGTTCCGCAGGCGGTGCACGAGTACAGCGAGAAGTTGCCGCAGACGGCGCAGAAATGTCGAACGGGCTTCTGGGGAGCCGGAGCGGAGGCGCTCTCATAGTTGGGCCGCTGGTCCTTGTCCTCCTCGAGGAGCTGCTGGAAGTTCTTTCGATACTTGGCCCGGAAGTACTCGGCGCCCTTGCGCTTGCCCTTCTTCTCCTTTCCCGTCTTCAAATTGTCCTGGAATTTGGGTAACTTCTTCGACATGACCAGGTCGGCATGGGGGTCATCGTGGAAGTTATCCTGCTCCAAGGCCTCCAGAGCTTTGCGCGCTCGTCTCTGGCGGGCGGTCACATCGAGAACACGCTTTTTTTCAGCGTCCTTAATGCGATTTGATTCGCGACCCGTCATGGTTGTTTTGGTTTTTAGTTGTTGCGGGTAAGTTTGTTTGATTAGGCAGTTGTTTAAGCGTCCTTGTCGTGCAGCGGAAAGCTAATCCGATCCATTAAATCATCGACTCGCGCCTGAAGCACTTCCACAATGTCCGTGGAGATAAACAAATGATTCTCGTCCAGATCCTGGATGATGAATTTGCGACCCAGAGCTAGCTTTTCATCCAAATGGAGCAGGAATTGTTTCATAGCAGGATCACTGCAGGAAATCTGGTTATTAAGACTTTGCCATTTTTAAAGCGAACACTTACCACTCCACCAGCACTCCTTTCATAACATTTACCATGTTGCAAGCATTTGTTTGGCGAAATAAATAAACAATTGCAAATTTATCAGACCTGCATGCTAACACTCACTGCGAAACGCAAACACCTGAGATGGGAGAAACGTGGATGTAATATAAATATATCGATGTTTAAGAAATTATGTAACCTATCGATTCGTTATTTTGCATATAAACTAAAAACAATTTTTGTAAGCTGTTACTTCCGTTGCTTAAAACAATATTTACTATTTTTTCTGTTTTAAAGTTATAGAAGTAAATAATAAATGTAAACGGCAGTTAAAGAATAAAAAAGACAATATGAAAGTGAATATGTAAATATATTTAATATATGTTTTTCGCTATTTTTTTTCCTCAGTAAATAAATTATTAGAGGAAAGCTATTTGGGACATTTTGGAATACATTTGTGTATGTTATGTTAATTGCTAGATTCTTAGAGTTGAAGTGCCATATTACAATATTTTTGGTAGATGGGTAAATATTAAAACTGAGGGGTAAAAGAATTGGTTGAGGGTGGTAGCGAAAAAAATATTATAAAAATATGTATTTACGAAGGCACTATTAAATTTTCATTTTTATTCTTTTACATTAAAAAAGAAATAATAGTATTATTGTTTTGATCAACGGAAGTCCCAGCCCTTTAAAATATTACTACTTTAGTATCACTAGTGGCAGTGTGCCACTCACAGCGAAACGTAAACATAGTAGGGTTAGGGGTATTGGTCAGCCAGCGCCGAACGGTAACACTGACAAACACTGAAGCAAAAGTGTGAGCAAATATTGAATTCCAAATTCGAGCGAGGAAAATCGGGCCAAAGGACGAAATGGAAGCTCTGAACGGAAGGAACGTGGCCCTGCTGGTGCTCTGCCTATGTGCCTCATACGCCCTGGTGGTCGCCGAGAACGAGAAGGAGATACCGGCGACGAAATTAGGCCAGAACATAGCGCCGACGATGACTTTTCTTTACTGGTGAGTTATATGCGGGGTAATTAACATAATAGATAAGGCTGAAGTACGTGTTTTTTGACTCTCCTCCGTTGAACAGCTATTCCTGCGGCTACCGAAAGGCCTTCGAGGACTATGTGAACTTAATGGGCGAAAAGTACCCGCAGATCCAGGTGCACGGCGGCAATTACGATCCGCCGGGTCTGAACTATTACCTCTCGAAGTTGATTTTCGCCCTTAAGATCATCATCATTGTGTCCGTGGTTAGTGCGGTCAGTCCGTTCACCTTCTTGGGGCTGAACACGCCCAGCTGGTGGAGTCACCTGCAGGCAAACAAGATATACGCCTGCATGATGATCTTCTTCCTGGGCAACATGCTCGAGGGCCAGCTCATCTCATCCGGCGCCTTCGAAATAACCCTAAACGATGTGCCTGTGTGGTCGAAGCTGCAGACAGGGCGCTTTCCCTCGCCGGAGGTCCTCTTCCAGATCATCGACAATCATCTGCAGTTCACCGAAAAGGTGCAGGAGAACCCGGACTTTGTTAAATAATAGCAGCGGTCGGAACGGATGGCGAGGCGGGTACAGTAGCAACACCAAGTAAGCCGGGACACCGGTTCTGAACCTATCTTAAACATAAGCTATTGCCCTGAAACTACCTACTTAGCTGTATCTCTGTTTTCACCCATACTTTAGCCTACTGTAAGTCACCTGTATCTATGTATTCCTTTTCAATGCTTGGTGGTCTGAATGTGTTCTTTGTTTTGTGCGACAGAATGACGATAAGAAACCGAACAGAAACACAGGGTACATCTCGAGATTAAAAAAGAAGCCTGCCTCTATAAAGATGTACCTTGTTCAAAGCCTTTACGGGATTGTGTATCATTACTTGTTAGTGGGGGATATGTGAAACCTTTTTCAAAGTGTAATAAAATTAAATTCGCTCTACAGTTTCAAAACCGATAGAACCGTGTTTTCTTTGACCAGACACTGTGCAAGGTGAAAAATTCAGTTGTTGGGTATTGTCTGATAAGCACTTTTAGCACTTTAATTTCTTTAACACAATGAAACCAATAAATTTTGGCCAACTAAAACTAAACTTCTGAAAGCTTTGATAAAATTAAAAATAACCATTAAAAAAGTTACTTCTGGTAGTTATTTTGGTTAACTGTCCCAAATCGTAGTCAAACAAAATATAGTGAGTTGTACATTTTATTTATCAAAAAACTGGGTTTTGTTTTTGGTTTTTGTTACGTTTACAATAATCCCAACAGAGGCAGAAGATTTACTTTCGTTGCAGTGCAGGCAGTGGTTATCTCTTCTTGTCCCCATTTTCATTTTTGGCATTTGGCATTCGGCACTTGGTATGTGTTATATTATTAATATTAGGTGTACACGTAATTAGATTACATATCCACGGAAAATGGCACTGTTCAGTGGTTGGTGTTTGCTTGTTTTGATTGGGATATTGGGGTTGGTTCGTTATCGTGATCATGATAGGATAGCAATAGACTTAAGACAAAAATTTAACTGCTACTTAGTAAGAACTGCAATCTATGCGGCGGTGGTGTCCTCATTCTCACGCGGAGGTCGGTTGTACTGGCGGGTATCGCCTCCATAGCGACCGAACTCGTTGTAGGTCTGAAAATTGCTCGGGCCTTGTGCCTGGTACCTTCCACTGGATTGAACCGGCAGTTGACGTCCAGTTGAAGTGTACCCGGACACGACGGGATCGCGCGGATCTGAGCTCCAGCTGGAGCCCGTTGACCTGCCAGCGTTGGGGACAGGATTGCCTCTTCCATTGGTTCCGGTTGACCAGGCTGCGTTGTAGGCAGGACTACTTCCTGCATTGGTTGCGGTAGACCAGCCTGAGTTGAAGCCAGGACTACTTCCTGCATTGGAGCCCGTTGGCCGGCGAGAGTAGTAGCCTGGACTGCCTCCTGCATTGGTAGCAGTTGACCAGTCTGCGTTGAAGCTAGGACTACTTCCTGCATTGTAACCCGTTGACTGGCCAGAATTGTAGCCAGCACTGCCTCCTGCATTGGAGGGGGGATTGTATCCAGTTCGGACATTTGAAGACCGGCCTGCGTTGACGTTAGGGCGAACTTGCGAACCAGATCTTGAGTCGGATGGCCAGCTAGTCCTATAGTTAAAGTCGTCATTCGATGAGGATGCCACCGAGGCAGAGGCGCGTGTCGCCGAGGCAGTGGCGCGGGCCACCACGATACGTCGGCAAACCGTGCACCTGGAAAATAGGACCCATTGTACAGCTACTTGGATTACTTTAACTAGGCTTGACCTACCTGCTGATCTTGCTGGTTTGATCGGCCTTGAGCGTCTGCTGGCGGGGCTGCACGAACTGATCCTGCTCCTCGATCACGGATAACCAGAAGGAGGCCAGCGCATCGTAGTAGTTGCAGCGTCCATGGCCATGGCACTCGATCACCGGCTGGGCGCGGAATTCCTCCAGACAGGAGCCCGGGGAGACGAGGCTCTGTCCAACGCCTCCTACGTTATCCAAGGTGCTCTGAAAGTTTTTTCGGTGGATTAAGCAAAATCATGTATATGGGTGTCATAGAAATCTCTTGCACCGCGTCGACAAATATTCACAGGTGTCTTGAAAAAATTCCCCGAGGCTCAAAAACTATATATTTGTACTTTGTGGAAGGGTTATAAAACAACCCTAAGCACATTAAAAACTTTTAAGTCTGTGAAACCGAAGGAGTTTTGAGTCTGGAAAATTTTAAGACTTTTCTTGGGAATTCCTGATTCCAAATCGTGAAACATAACATGCAGAAGAACTTACCATGAAGTAACTGAATCCGTTCCACATCTCCTCCCAGCCGCCGGGGCAGTCCGGAATGGACATGGATTGGGAGTGCAGGGCGATGATCCTGGTTGTGGTCTCGCACACCACGCAACTAAGGGCAAGAAATGATAATTATCAATAGGTGTTGGCCAAAGGATCAAGATCAAGCCGGTTGCCACTTACCGCGAGATGTACTTCATGAGGTCCCTGCCCTGGATGGGTGCCATGGTCATGGACATGGGTTCGGCGGTGGACAGCCAGAGACTGTCGTCGTTGTTCTGGGCAAAGTGGCACACGTTGTTCACATCGCACAGCATGAAGGGCATGGTGGTGAATCGCATCATGCAGGAGCCGGACAGGCCCAGATCCTGACCCACCGCTCTGCTGCCGGCCACGTTGCCAGAAAGGGAGTAGCCCTCCCACAGCAGATTGGTATTGGCCGGACACTGGGGTACAGTCACGGACTGCGAGTGGCGGGCGAAGATGAATCCTCGGCTCTTGGGAGCCGGTGGGGCTGGCGCCGGGTCACCCTGAGGTCCGGGCAGACCACGTCGTCCAGAAGGTCCCGTAAAGCCAATTTCACCGATGTCACCTCGCGGTCCTTGGGGGCCATCTGCTCCTGAGTAGCCCACTCCACCCTGGTCACCGCGATATCCGGTCTCACCTCTCAGTCCTTGGCGTCCATTAAATCCTGGTTGTCCCTGATCGCCCTCCTCGCCCGGGAATCCATCGATTCCCGGCTCACCACGATCTCCCGCGCGAGCCATGGAATAGGGGAATGTTTCTCCCGGCTGACCCTTGGGGCCCACGGGTCCCTCCTTGCCATCCATACCGTGCCAGCCAACGTTGCCAGTGGGTCCCCGTGGTCCCTGAGCACCCGTCCTGCCGTTCTGCCCCGGTTGCCCTGGATATCCTTGCTCACCCTTGTCGCCGTCCAAGCCGGGAGCACCCTGATAGCCGACGTCTCCGGTGTCGCCCTGACTGCCAAAGATGGCAAATCCAGCCTCACCCTGCTCACCCTGGCGACCCTGGTCACCTTGCTCTCCTTTGGGTCCAACTTGACCGTGTCGACCATTGTATCCTGGATTTCCGGGGTATCCAACGTCGCCCGGAGGTCCGGGCGGACCCTCGATCCGGGGTCCTTCGTGTCCGATCACACCGTTAGGACCATTTTCTCCTGGTGCTCCGGGAGCTCCCTTCTGGCCAATGCGTCCAGGACTACCATTGCGTCCATTTAATCCAGCATCGCCTTCGTCACCCTTCTCCGCTGGGAATTCCTGGCCTGGAGGTCCTCGCAGACCCTTGTCGCCCTGGGAACCCTTCACTCCGAAAGCTCCATCCAGTCCGCGATTTCCTGCGTATCCCATCTCTCCTTGTTCGCCCTTGGCGCCCGGTAGACCGACAAAGCCAATCTGACCAATTTCGCCCGTAGCTCCTTGTTCACCTTGGATTCCACGATCACCGGGGAATCCACGATAAACGTAGCGATCCTCCAGATTCTCCACGCGTCCGGGATAGCCAATTTCACCTTCGTCACCCTGCAGACCCTTAAGGCCTTGTGCACCGACGATTCCGCGAGGTCCTTGGTCACCAGTCTGACCAGTCAGGCCATCAAGTCCAGCATCACCCCTCTCCCCCTGGAAACCTTTGGGTCCATTAATTCCTCGTGCGCCGATGCTGCCCCCAATGCCGAAAGCTCCTTCGCTTCCCCTACTGCCGGCCAATCCCTTATCTCCAGGAATACCCGGTTGGCCCTGTTGACCGGCGAAACCGCGATCACCACGCTGGCCCTTCTGTCCATTACGGCCATTGATTCCATCGATTCCGGGGCTGCCCACCTCTCCTTTCCGACCTGGTGCTCCTTCAAAGGCCACTGGCGAATCGCCCTGGAATCCACGCTGTCCTTTCTGTCCGGGGGCTCCACGGAAGCCGGGTAGTCCTGTCGAGCCGGATTCTCCATTATCGCCCTTAATGCCACTGTAGGCGGCCACGCCCTTTACACCTTCGCGACCCGTAAATCCTTGATCTCCCGTCTCGCCCTTCCTTCCGGGAATGCCGTTAGCTCCGGGATAGCCGTACACTCCATCCTCACCAGTGATACCTGAAATTGGGCGAAGGCAAAGACTCGGTTGAATAGTTTAAATACCTACTAGAAAGTATCAAAAATTGCTATGGGTTAATATTAATCTATTTCAATATTAATATTTTCGAGTTAAGCTTTTTGCATCTTAAATTTTTTGGTTCTATTTTGCAAAGTCAAAGTTTAAAAGTATCAGATCCAAGACTAAGAATGTTGCATTCTTAAGTATTAAAGCCAAGTATTGAGGATTACTAATATTGTTCTTAAGTCCAAACTTTGGGAATTGGATCAAGCAATTTCAATATTAGCAATAATTGAACAAAATTAAAAAAAAAACAAAAAAAAAGACATTGTTTTAAGTACAATCAGTAAATCCAATATCAGCTCACCTTTAGGTCCCAACTCGCCGAGGGGTCCTCGAGGACCAATGTCCCCCGGGCGTCCGGTGTAGCCGATCTCGCCGCGATCGCCGATGTCGCCGGTCATGCCCGGTAGTCCGCCGATGCCAGGACTGCCGGGGGCTCCCTGCAGACCAGGACTACCGAAAGGTCCGCGACGACCCGGAAAGCCGATGCTGCCCTTGACGCCGTTTTGTCCCTTCTGTCCATCCGCGCCGACTTCGCCCTTCTGGCCCTTGATGCCGAACAGGGCGGGGCGACCGTTGCGTCCGGGCTCGCCCTGCGGTCCACGTGGACCAAAGACGACCTCGCCGCGTTGTCCCCTGTTGCCGGGCAGGCCGGTTAGTCCAGTCTCGCCATCGGGTCCCTGCTCGCCCTTCACACCCTTGGGTCCTGGACGGCCAGAGGGTCCGTAATGGCCGATGCTGCCAGCATCACCGGGAAGGCCCTTGATACCCGGACGTCCTTGTACGCCGATTTCTCCCGGAATCACCGATTGACCTGGTATACCGCGTTGTCCCTTGTATCCGGGGTTGCCATCTGCACCATTTTCACCATTAAGGCCGGGCCGACCAGCCTCGCCTTGGGGGCCGTGATCGCCAACCGAGCCGAAAATACCCTTCATTCCCTTGGGTCCAGCAATGGTTATGCCAGGATATCCCTGGTCACCGTTGTCGCCGGAAAGTCCGGGAGCTCCTTGCTCGCCCCTGAGTCCCTTGGCACCGGGCAGACCACGGTAGCCCTTGTCACCGGGAGCACCAAAGTTGTCGATGATCTGTCCCGGATGCGGCTGACCCTTCTCGCCCTTGAAACCGACATCTCCGACGTCACCACTCTCTCCCTTACGGCCGTTGTAGCCGGGCTCGCCGACCAGGTAAATCTTGGGGGTGCTTGCGTTTTTCCCGTGAGCGCCATTATATCCATCACGTCCTGGCCGACCATCCAATCCTGGGAGTCCAGTATCACCGTATTCGCCGTGCTCTCCCTTCTCCCCGCGGGCACCCTTGATGCCATCGTAACCATCGTATCCCTGTGCACCGTCTGGTCCCAGGTCGCCACGAGGTCCGCGGTCGCCTTCATCACCTCTTGCTCCACTTTGAAGATTGCCAATTCTCTGAACCGTTCCTGGAAGACCGGGTGCTCCGATCTTACCCGGATCGCCGTCGATACCCGGTGCGCCAGGCAGGCCCTTGAAGCCAGTCCTACCGGGATTGCCTTGCTGACCCTTCACGCCGCGAGGTCCAGTAAGACCGATAAGTCCGCGGCTGCCATGTCTGCCAGGATAGCCGGTGTCACCCTGCTGACCCCGAGCTCCCCGTGGTCCGGCCTTGCAAATGGGGCAGTCGTCGCCGGCCAATCCCTTGTCACCGGGCTGGCCAGGGTACCCGTCGGGACCATCGTCACCGGGACGTCCGCGGCGTCCGGGGGGACCCTGGGAGCCCATGGGTCCAACGATGTTATAGCCCTCTCCGGGCAGACCCTTGTCTCCGGGCAAGCCGATCTCTCCACGATCACCACGATAGCCATCCCTGCCCCACGCTCCGTTCACACCAGGGTCTCCCTTTTTTCCATATAGATTGTGGCCAGCATCACCGGGTAATCCGTTGCGACCCTGGGGGCCTGGGTCACCGACAGGACCTTGAGGCCCTGGAGGACCCATGAATCCGTAGTCACCGGCCTCACCGCGTTCACTGCGTCCGGGCGGGCCGCGATTGCCGGTCAAACCGACCTCCCCTGACTGGCCAGCTCGACCAGGGGGTCCGCGACGTCCTGGCTTGCCAGGTTGACCGGGCAGGCCGATGGCTCCCTGTGGTCCAATTTCTCCCTGCGGTCCGATGGGACCCGGCAGCGACTGGCTCAGACTGGGATCGTACTTTCCGGGCGGACCGGCGTTTCCTTGAACACCGGGCAAGCCGGGGAAACCGTCTTCTCCCCGCTCTCCCTTATTTCCATCCAGGCCATCCGCGCCATTAAAGCCGGGAGCACCTTTAGCGCCCTTGTTTCCGAATGGACCGGCCTCTCCGTCCCTTCCGGTCTTGCCGCGGTCTCCGGGTGCTCCAATTTCGCCCCTGCCGCCCGGAGCGCCACTGCGTCCGAGCTCACCCTGTTCGCCCTGCGGTCCAGCTGGTCCCGGTTCGCCCCGGACTCCAGCGTATCCCTTGTAGCCCTTCAAGTCGTCGTCCGTGTGGGCGGGGCTTGTGATGCCGTCACCGGGCTCACCCTTGGCTCCGGGCTGGCCCACCAGTGTGTAGGGCAGCTCCGATATCTCGCCAGTGTCGCCCTTGGGTCCCTTGAATCCGGGGTCTCCCTGCTCTCCCTGCAGGCCAGCGAATCCGGTGTCACCCTTGGTGCCGCGATCGCCATCGAATCCGGGCGAGCCATTGTAGCCAGCTGGGCCAGTCACGCCCCGCGAACCCTTGGTGCCCTTGGAGTTAATTCCGCCCTCGCCGGCGTCGCCGGGAGCTCCCTGTTGACCAGGCCTGCCCGTCTGACCGCGCGCTCCGTTCAAGCCATTATTTCCAACCGGGCCCTGCTCACCCGGCCGTCCATCGCAGCCATCGAGTCCACGGGGTCCCCGTACTCCCGGCTCACCGGGTCGACCCTAAATGGACAATGGACATTTCATTAAAATATTTCACTTTTATTAGCAAAAATGATTATTAAATTTCTCTATAATGTATTGTTATCTGATCTAAGGAAAATAGATAATATTTAAAAATAGAGCTATTATTTTTTTTTTTTAAAGCTTGAACTATAATCTTTAAATAGTTTAACCATTTCAACCATTATTTATGATTAAATAAACAAAATATATACTCTTAATGTACTTACCGTAATTCCTGGGTATCCCATTTCACCTTTAAGTCCGACATCACCCTGGAAATATAATGGTTTGTCATACAGGACTATTTAGGATATCTACAAATGCCTTACTCGATGTCCCTTTTCGCCTTGCTCGCCGTACTCGCCGGCATCTCCTTTCTCGCCCACATCGCCAGCCCTTCCGAATGGTCCTAAGTCACCGGCAGGACCTTCCAGGCCTCCCACTCCAGCGGGTCCTTGGGCACCAACATATCCCTTAAGGCCCTTGCAGTCGCATATCGTTTCGTTGCAGATCTGGAACAAAAGAACAAATCGAATTTTTAAATAGAACTAGTCTTGATTGCCCCTGATTGAAACTCCCATGTGGGTAATCGAAGATGTCAGAACCAATTCGTTTTATATTCGTTGTGCAATGAAATTTTAAATTATTTTGTATTTTGGCGAAACTAAATTTATGTTTGAAAATGTATCTTGCAGTTAGTTTTCTCGATTTATACTGTAAGGCCCAATTATTATTTAATTAAAACATTTCAAGTTAGTGTCAACGTTTCATACCTTTTTGTCTGGTGAACGTCATTTTTAAAGGAAAAGTTGCAAATTAAAATTGAATTAAATATTTAAGAATCTAATTTTCTTTTTTTCGATTGATTTAAATTAAAGGAAAGACAAAAGAGTCACCAAAATGTCAAAATAAAGATTTTAGATTTCCTATTAATTAATTTCTGAAATTCAATCTACTTGATTGATGTGGCTTGGCTGTTTCTCGATTGCATAATTGGTCAATTGCAGTTTTGGCCTTCGACTTGTGAGTTGTGGGTTTTATGCTTGGCGATTTTGTGCAATTTCTTTTCATAACCAAAGACGAACGAAATCCCGGCCCGCCTTAGCCGGAAAATCAACAATAATAAGTGCACTCATTGCAGCGAGTGCGGGTGCAACATTTTTCAGCTGCAGTTCGCGGCTTTAATTGCACAGTTTCCGTTTGCAATGAGATAATCTTCTATATGAGTACGTTTACTTTTGCCCAGCCAATTGAGCGAGTGCATAGAACACGCTCACTGGACCTCGCACTGAAGTTGAAAGGGGGAGGGGAAGTGAGAAGTGTAGGAATACTGGAACACCACAGGCAGCGCATTTTAACCCATTTAATGTGCATTTATTTATAAACAACAAGTGCAATTCGGTAAAAAGCCATTATCTGGAATATTTCAAATTATGAAATCGCTTTGAAATCCATTTTTGAGGTAGGTTGAAGTTGAAGAAGAACACCTACGTGTATTTATTGGCACATTTCTTGCGGCTTCCTCATTGATGTCAGCATAAACATCCTTCGTTTTTTTTTCGTATTTATAGAATTGACATAATTTCATGTTGGTTAAAAGTCCGAATTTATTGCCGCCTTCATTAAATGGAATTTCAGTGCTCGTTCAAGTTTTCCCCTGTCAGTTCCTCCAAAAAACAATTTAAAAATAAAAGAAAACTGCACACATGTTGCACGTATGTGTCGAGATTTTTTTGCTTAAAATCTATCTTATCTTTTTGTTGTTTTGCATATGAAATTTTTGTTTAATTGTTTGTTGCCCGGAAAAATTAGTGTCAAATGTTTGGCAAATTCTGTTTTAGATTTACAACTACTCGTGTATATCTCCGATGACTAATGGAGAAGATGCAAGCGACATCGCCAGAGTTCAAAGCCCCAGAACATCCTCCCCAGATAAGTTCCTAGAAGTTAATCCGCCCGCAGGAGATCAAACCATCTGTTAACTAAATATTCACATCACCCAATCCCGAAACGAGAACGTGAAAGGTAAACAAGGCGAAAGGCAAAAAACTCAAAAAGCTGAAAGCTAGAAAAAAATAAAATACGACTTTTCAATGCGGCAAACCAAAAGATGCTGTGGTTCTGTTGTTTAATTTGTTCTTCTTTGCCGGCGGCGAACAAATGAAAAATCCGAGAAAATGCAGATACGAAAATAAAATCCAAAATCGGGGGTGCAGGTGCACAGAAGCAATTGCACTCGATTTCTGGAAATGAGAAGCCAACTGTGAGAAATGGTCTGCTGAGTCGCTAGACAAAAAAAAATGTATTAAAGTGCTCCCCAATAATTTCAATGGGAAATTTCGATCAGTTCTTGGTTTCATTCAAGTCTTTTGTTTCACACCACACATTCCTTCAATCGAAAAGGCTGCAAAAGAAACCCCAAATACCCAAAAGGAGACACCATCGAATTTCATTCAATCAATTGCCAAATCTGAAACTTAAGGAATTCTCCTCGGATAACATAAAATATATATAGACATATACATATGTGCATATATCAACTGTGGAAATTGTTGCGGTAACACGTACAAAAGTGACAGCACTGCAATTTCCTTGAACTTGACACTGGGCAAGGCAATATCTGTGCCGACTGCACATACATTGTAGGTATATATGCTATATAGTGCACCCCGTCCGTATATGGGCCACTTTTGTTTGATTTTTTTGGATGGCACCACAGCCAGACAACGCACCACTAAGTGGCGTCGTGTCGAGGGGGGAACCACTCGAATGGGGGGAAGGGTGATCTGTTGCACTGTGCTTCCTTCATATTCAACCGCCAAACACTCGATTCCGCCGATGTCAGCAAAGGAGGCAGTTACTCGGGTCGGGGCTGGGAATATTCGCCGAGTTAATAATAAAATTCCTGAATGGGCACGCGTGTCGGGGGAAAACAGTTCAGCAGGTGTTGGGTATTGGTAAAAACAGTTGTTTTACAGAGCTTACTTTAAAGTAATATTTTAAAAAAATCTTGAGGGAAAATTTCTTGCTATTATTGTAATATGTTTAATACGTTATTAATAACAGTATCGAATAAATAAACAAAATAGAGTTTTTATATTTCTTAATATTTAATGGATAATTTTCGCCATAAATTGAAAACTACAAATATAAAAACTATTTAACAAATATGAATTGAATATGAAAGAGGTTTTCAAAATTCTTCATACTTCCGTAGGTGTAAATGGATAGTTTTGTAAGACATGTTTTAATATCAATATATATTCCACATAGTTCAGTCCTGAATCCTTTTTGAAATGTTAGCCCCTTGAATTATTTATAATGTTGTGCCACTGTGAGTGCAATTGCTTGCTAAGGGAAAGTCCGACCAAATCGCCGCGAATGTGTGTCAGTGCCCGTCAAGGCGCACTTAAGCGCATTTACACATGTTAAACTTAAACCAATTGTCCCAGTTGCCGATTTTCCGACCCGCTTGCTCTTGCATCCCAAGCAAATGCATATATGTAGTTTAAGGTCAAGCCGAGGCCTCCACACGGATCCAAATCCCAGCCCAGATGATATATCATCTGGCGCGACAATTGGGCACACCCACCCACGCTAATCGTTTGCCGGGCGGAAAGATAATAAGCGGAGCATTCCTCTCTTAAGCGTTATGCATCTAAAATCCAAGTTTATTGGCCCGACACTTTCTGGAAATCTGGACTCTCTGGCCTCCTGAGTATCTAATGACAATCCTCGGGTGCTAACTTTTCGTCTTTCCCGTGAACTGTAAGCAATACTACCTAAAACTGGAGGGACTGCAATTATTCAGAGAATGCAAAGCGCAGCGAAATGTCTTGGAATGAGATAGAACACATCGAGCGAAAGAGATGGCTGGAGAGAGAGAGAGAGAGATGGGAGATAACCGTCTGGTAATCTGGGTCTCAAAGTTGGTGGCCTGGTCCGCCCGGATGTGGCATACAAAAAAAAAAAAAATATAATAATCAAAATGTCGCAAATAAATCACTGTGATAAGCCTGAACAGATTTTCAAGTCGAGAAAGCAACATTAATTTATTCATTTAAATTTGGCATTTAATTGTGTCTCGTACATATATAGTATTTTTATTTTAATGACACTTTCATATTCATTCATCTAAGCTTCCAGGCAATGGACAAAGGGGTTATCTGTTGCAGACACCAAGAAATCAATGTGAGTTCTTTGTTGCCAAGGGGAACATAGGAATATTCTAAATATTTACAAGATTCAAAAATTTAAGCCATTTTAGAAGAACTAGGTTTTAACTTTTTATATTTTATTTACAAATTTAAAAACCTTTTACCTTAAATAAATGTTTCAATAAACTCTAGTTAAATATTTATAGAAACGAACACTCATTAAGCTTCTAAGAAAATGTAATCAAACTTTTAACTTTATCATTAAAATTAAAAATCTTGCTTATTTTTCAAGTGTTAGAGTAAGGTTCAGCTGCAATTGTCGAAGATCCTTTTGTGCGTCATAACTGACACAATTTGTTAAGTCGGACAACACGCGCCATCAATCAACCGCATTTTCATTTTCAAATTTATATGTATGTACATATGTGCCGCATGATATGGAGTGGGAATTTACACCAGCAGCAATAAAAACAACAAATCAGTTGTTAAAATGCATCATAAACGTTTGAAAAACTACATGCAACAATGAAAGGCACGAGTAAAAAATGTTGTTGCAGACCCTGAGATCCTAAGTAAATTTAAAAATAAAACGAAATAGAAAACACAAGTAATATTTAAATAATACAAAACAGATGAAATATTTATAATAAATAAATATATATTTCATTACTATTATACTTTTTCAAGAACATTTAATCATTCTTATAAAAAAATAATTATGTTGATAACTGTACGAATATTCTTTCAGGAGTAACAAATTAAAAGCAATATCTAAAAATTCTACCAGGAATGAATGAAAATAAGGTCACAGTAATATTCCCATAAGGAATTCCTAGTGATAGCCCCTAAAAACTATTTACTTCAAACTGTTTTTAGTGGCCCACATCCCATTAAAGTATTTCATTGAGCGGGCGACCCAGTTGCGATCAGTAAAAGTACCAGATTCACGAGTCAGTCGACACAAGAACCCCCATTTGGGGCACATTACAGGGTAGCAATACGAAAGTCGTATATGGGCCAACATATGAGCAGCGTGTGATTGACATGAAAAAGCCAGCCCCCACACCCACTCACACTCGTGTAGAGCATAATGGATGCACATCTGGACGGGCGCACTTGCAGCATGACATCATTTTGCTCCGGCTTGACATCATAACATTTAGAAAAAGATGCAGAAAAATCTGCACTGCCACATGGCACATGGAGAACATGGAGAACACCCACGCACTCGTAAGTGTGCAAAAAAATAGAAAAAAAGGCAGTTTTGTGCCCGGTTACGGCATCATCGCACATAATTGTTTGGACACAAGCCTGACAGATGATAACTAATTGCCGTGCACTCAAATTAACATTGAAATTGATGGACAGCGGGCTGTCACAACGGAATATTAGCAACGATCGCCAATAAAGTGGCGATAAGGAAGCGCCAAATGATTGAATTGCACCTGACCGGTAATATAGTTCACATTTTTCCAGAGTTCTAACTAATAAAACAAAATGAATCAATTGTAACGGTGGACTTGCAAGAATACGCTTTCTGCTTAAAAGTTTTTTGTGCCCTGTTTTCAAAGGATCATGGTAGTAATATATGTCAAACTAACATAAAGATCTTTTATCAAGGGATCAAGATGACACGGACTGTAATTTTCAGCATTATAAGTACATATCAGGTAAGTATAAAATATGAATAACTTATTTAAATTTACTAATAAAAAAGCTTTTTAATTAATTTATTTTTACTTATGCCATACTTTACTTACTTTAAGATCTTAAGTTAAACATTAATCAAATGATTTTAGGCTTTAAATTCACTTGGTTTTCCTTGAAAGCACTCAATAAAAATCACCCAGTTATAGATCGTTTTAAAATCATTAACCCATTAGTTGACCATCTCAATGGTTCGCAAATAATTTAAACAATCAAAACTCTTAAAAAGTTAACTAAGCAAATTAAGGCAAATTTATTTTTAGCCATGACGCCTGATGTTTGCTGTCTGAAATAAAATCTCAGCAACAATACACATACATTGTGTATATTATATACCATTTAGAGTCTAAATATATGTATAGAATTTCAGCTGCTCTGATGATGAATATCAATTTCATAAGCCAGTCCAGTCCGAACTGATAAGGCGGCAAAAAGGAGAACAACGAGCTGTAGTTATGAGACAGATGACTGATAACCCAATTTCCCGGGCTTCTTCTACACTGGCTCATAAATAATCGTTTCAATTTACGAAATTCATTACACAGGCGGCTACTAAGTGGCCCCTGCCCATATCACTCATACGACATGCTGTCCATATCGCACACTCGCACTCACACACACACACACACACACACCGACTTCGCATAATTTCCGCATTCAGTTGCAGATAAATAAATAATTGAGTCAAATTGAAATGCAACTCGCCAAACAATTCTACTCAAGCACGCAAATAAACTTCCACAAGGAGTCCAGTCCAACAATGAGATGATGATCATTGTTGTGCGAGATGTTGGTGTTGTTCTTGGGCGGTCTCCAGTTGGAACCCCTACATTTCGATCCCCACATTTGGCTCCGCTATGTCTGGCCGGCGGTGGTCAGTGATTTATGCCAGCATCGGGTCAGTTCGGACCAGGATCGGGCATAAACACAAAAACCCAATGAAAGTTGAGCAAAGGGAGGAAGCGGAGTGCGGGGGTTACAGTACACTATTACAAATAGTTGAGATGGAATTATGATTGAATTAAATCAAATCAAATTAAATATATTAATAAATGATTCCTGATTGTTTCTACGTAAGCCCTTGAGAAATATCATGCCATTGTTATTATCAAAATAGATGCAATAATGCAATCATAAGGATTTTTGACTTCGTTTTAAACAAAAATAAGTTACTTAAAAGTAATTTGTTATTTTAATTGTTAAAACTGGATTAATTATTTTAGAATTTTTGTAAGTCCTTATTTGTGTTTTACAGTGTATAAGTGAAGTTTCTAAGACTACTGACAGCAGAAGCAGCCGCCTCAGAAGCAACAACAAACAACCAAGAACTTTCAATTCCAATTTGAAATGGTACAGAACGTCAAAAGATTGCCGCCTCCCCTCGTAACCCCCTGGGATCCCACAATTCCAGCGATTCTTTAAAGGAACCCTTCACCGATCACTTGAGCTGCTAATTGTCGGAATCGAACGGCATTTCCATATATACGTATGTATATATAGCAGAGCAAGTGCTGTGGAGGAGAGAAAGGGAATGGAAGGGAGAGGGGCGGATTGGCTGATAAAGACCATTTATCAAAATTCATTCATGGAACGAAAAGCCTCAGCTGCATTCGATGAGTTCATCTCTCTCTTCCTCTCTTCAATTAAAGCTGCTCTTAAGCGTTTGACTATTCTCTTTCCCAGAACGGAAAAGGAAATGGTTTGGTCTGTTAATGTAGTGCCAAACTGGTTGGAAAAGCCAACTGCGTGAACAGTTTGTCAGACACTGGTGCAAGTTTGAAAAAGTTTTTAAATACTTTGAAAAAAACACCCTTTAAAACTAATGTAAATAATAATATTCGGCAATCTTTAATAATAATGAATACTTTTTCAACCAAAAATTAAAAAATAAAATTTGCAAACAAAAAATATCTAAACATTTTATTAAGCATGTATTTAACATATTAAATGAATTAAGTTTTAATCTAAATTATAACTCTTAACAGGAATAAGTATGCATAATAAACTATTTATCATGTTTCTCAATGATGTGGGCTTTAATGATTTCATTCAAATATTTAAAAAAAAACACTACTTGATATTGCATTTTAATGATTTCCTTATATACATATATATATTGATTACAATTACAATGTATGTTTTGAGTCATTAGCGATAAGCAAGCGAAGCTAATTCTTTCGAATTTTGTAATTACCCCATTCGCTCTGATTAACTAAATACAATATAAATTAATTATGACTTCAGACATTGAATATGTTAGTTTTTATTTAATAGTATTTGACTAGTATGTTAGCAAAATAATTAGTATTCCTAGGAACCCCCGTTTTCAGTGAGGGTAACCCGAACAACGGTAGCAAATCGAAGTCAAGTTTTTCATCGTTTTGCGGTTTATCTTCCAGCTGCAACCTACACGACCTGGGAGCTCTCACTCGGAATCGGGGAGTTAGGGTCTCAAGCCCATGGCATTGACCACGTAACCGAGTGCGAAAAGGGCTGGGAGTCGAGTTACCAAAGCCGTCAGACGAGCTGCACATTTATGATGCCAAACACGTGAGGCGATGAGTACAGATCCAAGCGAATCGAGTGCAAAATCCGACACAGAAGTTGTGGAAATCGCTACCTAAAGGCAACTTGGACGTGGGCAAAAGTCAAGCCAAGCCGATAGCCTCTGGGCCTGCTGGCGACACTTGGCTCTGTTCTATTTTTCATTTTTTCTAAATTCGAGTCTAGGAATCCATGTCGCAATCAGCGGAGCATGCTATCAATGGCGTCAATGCCGCCAACATAGCAATAGGTCTAATTAAATGTGTAGATCAGCGGGCAGCAGCCCAGTCGCAGCCTGATAAGGGGCGAATGCCATCAAAAACTAGGTGCCGCCGACATGTGCTCCATTTTTCATTTAGGTGTAGCCTACTCTTACGAAATCAGATAGAGCCAAAAAGTCCACAGACCAACCAGTTCATCCGAGGACCATTTAAATCTAACTAATGTTGAGAAATTCGGGGCTTAAAAAAAAATGGTGCATAGTTTTTGGGGCATTTGGAAACAACTTCTTGCTCCTAAATGTTCTTTTTGGATCATGTTAGGTGGTATTTAATTTATAAAACTAATGAAACGAGCAACTTTATAGCTACTAATTAATTTAAATGGTTTATTTTTAACAGTCCTACTTAAATGTCTAGCTACAAAAAAAACTTTCATGACATTATCTCATTCCAAAAATGTGGCCTTAAATTTAACAGTGATTAAAACCTAATTATACCTATAATCTCATAACTATAAATACAATTAGAATTGCCAACCGGAAACGCTCGATGGCGAGACCTAATGGGTGTGCCAAGAAGACAAGTCTTTCAAATAGTAAGGTTACGGGGTTATCAAAACTGCGTTATCGCCAACCTTTTCACCCACAGGAGCTTGTTGCCAAAATAAGTAAATGACATAATCCGTCCCGCTGGACTTTAGTGAACTCTGAGAATCAGGGACGGACTTCGGGGATTATCTTTCGAAGGCAAAGAGTTGTAACTACGCGATGTTTCCATGCCGGAAATGTGCATGAATCAAAGAGTGCATTGCTGCAGAATAACAATAACAATAGCTGCGATGATTAAGAGACGAGATGTGAGCTGACCTAATTTTAGTTGCTTATGGTTGATACTAAGCAGTTTGAAAATCATTGGTGGGGCTAATCATCAATTAATAAAATAACTCAAGAAAATCGATTTAATAAAAGGTTAAGCCAATTCATTAATAAAGTTAGAAAATCACTTTAAATAACCCATTCAAATAATTTTAGTCCAGTGCATTGAAAACTGTTGAAGGTTTGGAGAGCATTGAAAAAAATCCATACTTAGATATGACATGATTAATAAAAGAATATTGAAATTAAATAGGGTTTTAACGTATTTAACTCTAAGAATCACTATTAAGAGTTTAATACGTTAAAAGGATAATTTAAGCTTAGTACAGGACTCACCTTATCTGCTAAGGTCACGGAAACGAGGCTGCCCAGCAAATACACGGCGCCCAGAAGACCCGAGAGATACCGTAGATCTCTGGGTAACATCTTCGATGGGTCCTTTGGTCCTTTGCGCAAATTATTGATGTCTCACTCTTGCGATCTATCTCTATCTAAACACACACGAAACTGCAAACGAAATAAACATTGAGTTATAAATTTTGGAGTTTTCGATTTTTAAAATATACAGGTATTTAAAAAACCGACATAAACGTTATTTAAGAGTTTTCGGAAATGTATGGGAAACTAACAGAAAACGCTGATTTGCTGCTGCTGCGATCGTCGGGCACAGCACTCTCCCCACATGTGGAGATCGTCAAGCGTTCGAAGTATTACTAAACACGAGCCCCACCAAAGCAATTCGAATTCTTCGCCCGTTCGCTCGGCACGCTCGTCTTCATTCGGGCAACGTTCGTGCGGCAGATCGGCTCTCGGTCCACTAATACAATTGCAAAATGGATCTGCGGTGGTATTAGTTCGCTGGATGGAACCATAGTCGTACCCGTAGTCGCAGGCACAGGCCAGGGACAGTCCATGCCGGATAGATATAGTTGTGGGCCTGGGTATGGATGTAGATGTGGATGTAGAAATGGCTGTGGCTGTGCCTACGGCTGTGGATCTGAATTTAGCACTTTGACGCCTTGAAACGAGGAAATGAGGAGCACAACCACAGCCCGCTAACCGAATCAAAGTTGCCCGAGCATACAATTCTATTTCCCATTTTGGTTCTGAGCGTTCGGAAAAGGGTATATGTTTTTTTTAATCTTCCAAGCAAACGTTTTTTGTCACCATAATAGGAGATCTTGAAAGCTACTACAAATCTTAGATAGTCCTAACATGTTCCTCGAAAATTAATTTCAAAAAATTAGTTATTTCTTTACAGTGGAAGTATATCTGTTCATAAAGTATTTTAACTAAAAAAGTATTCGAGCGCTGCCATTGCTACTATTGACTAGATTCATTTTAAAGTAGGATATTGGCCAAATGTTTTATAAACGTACTTTAAAACTTTTGGCTTGAGATTTAATAACTTTTAAAGCAATTTACTAAAAATCTGATTATTTATTTAACGGGTATAGCCTAGTCTTAATACTCAACTCCATACTTAGCAGTGGATTAAATACAACTCGATGCTTGTTTGTTTGTCTTGCCCCTCGTGATTAGGTTAAGGCTTTTTCATTTAGTATAAGGCATATGTGGAGCTGATAAGAGGGATATGGCTGCGTATTTCCTGTTAGAAAAAATCAACAAGAATCCAAGCAGCTCGTCGTTCGTTTAATTTCGACGCAGAATCAGTAAAATGGAACCTTTCGAAATTCAAGCTTGGTTTTAGGTTTTGAGGTCATAGTATTTGGAAATGGGTCTTGATAGGTCTATAATCAAGGCCTCTTTTAGTTGGGGAAGAATAGTTTTGTCCTAGGGTACGAGGAAGACGGATATGTCCCAATGCCCTCAATATATATCTTTTAGGAAGTTCCAGAGATTAGAACATTAAATTTGTTCATTCTGTTAGTTCTGTAATAATCGGAAGTGTTATTCTCCTTCTAAACAAAAATATACTAGTTAGAAAAAATTAAAAATTGTTTATTTAAGCTTAAAATCGTACCTGTGTTTCAGAGGTCTACTGATATCGGATATTATAAGTTATTATTGTTTTTTTAAAACTGGTTACATTTGATGTTTTAGTCGTGATCTGCTTAACAAACAAATTCGCCGACAAAATGCATGTGTTTTCATAGTGTTTAATTTTAATCAATATAATAATTTTATCATTTTAATTAATTAAAACTATTTTAAAAAGTAAAATTAAGATTGCCGGACATATTTAATCTACAAGCAAAAATTTTACGGGATTAAATGTTGATTAACGAAACCAATTCATTAATTCAAACAATTTAGAAGATTCTTTAAAGGCAATAAACCTTTTTCCACTTAAGCTGTATACACCTTTTTTTCATTCTTGCTTTCTAAACTTAAATAAGTGAAAATTTATGAAAAATACTTTAACTATTATTTTTTGGAGTTTTAGCAGTAACCCCACTTTGAATTATCAGAAAACCCCTGTTTTATTTGATAAATAAAATACAGTATTTTATCTAACAAGTTTTTATTTAACAAGCCACTGTTTCTTTTTATTTTCAAATGAGGACTTACTAAGTACAAATAATTGTGACTTGTTTATTATTGTGGCAAATACAAAGATAAAGTAAACAGCAAACGTGTTTTTGGACACATATTTCTTGGGCAATATTTTTAAGAATTGTCCACAGAGCCCATTTTATTCCCATTTTGGGGTCCAAACAAATCAAACCACAAAGGATATATACATAGTTTAAAATGTAATCCTTTGAATTGAGTTCCTTTCTAGAAACGAGATTTGGTCTATACAAAAACCTGATTAGAAGAATTTGTGTAAAAGCAAACCAAAAATTGATGTGGTTATATTTAGAACGTTTAGAAAAAACCCGGATTGATAACGAAGCCTTGGAAAATCTTAGTCTGCGAACCGAAAAGTAACAAAATTAGATGCCGTAGGGCAGGGGCGGACGAAAACGGAAGCCATGTGCCCGATCTCGGACGGGGGCTATCAGCAATTCCGAGATGGGAGCTGGAAGCTGGGAGCCGGAGCTTGTAGAAGGTGCTCCCGGGGAGGTGATCCGGAGGAATGAAGCCGCTGTTCTATTGAGCAACTTAAGTCGCATGTGGCATATCAACGGCAGCTACTTAGTTTCAGACTTATCGCCGGGTTTCATTCATTCCACAGCGACTATGTTAACTGCTGGGACTAGTGTTGCTACATACGATCAGTCGCCCATCCGTTCTATATGCCATGGCACGCCACCCCCTCCCCCTCCCTGGGGATCCAATCACACGGATAGTGTACGTGAGCCGAGAACCCGAGGAAGATCGTGCCCAGCCGAACGAACGACGGCAAAAGTTCGGGGCATCGGAGCATCGGCGAATGGCTTTTGGATCGCTCGAACTTATACTATAATTAGTCGTGTTCCGTCTCCCCGAGTAAGTAGTAGACTGGGCTCGGTCCGAAGCTGATCTGGCCAGTTGCCTTTAGTCTTTAGTGTGTTCTGTGGAGTGGAGTGCTGTGCGTTCGGATCGGATCGGATCGCTCGGTTGTGTGTTTTCAGTAGGGTCCCGTCGAACAGTCCCTTTAGATTCCTGTAAGGAAAATTGAAAAAGAAATATATATATAAATATATATTTAAAACAGATTGGGGGGAAAACAAGTATAATGAATTAAAAGCTATAGATCTCGTACCAGATCGTTGTTCGAGCTTCGTACCAGTTCCAGTGCTTCTCAAACTGTACCGTCAAAAATTACTGTTACTTGGACCACAAAAAGCGGAAAAAGAAATGCAATACCAAATAAAATAAAATACCAACGTTAAATCATTAAAAAAAATTCAAGAAACTCGATTTTCCCACAAATATTAAATGAAACTTATTTTCCATAAAAATACCGTTCAACTTTTGTACTTTTAAAATTTATTTTGCAACTGTTGTGAAATTTAAGTGCTCAATTTTCTGGCTCATCTTTCCAGGCCCAACGACGGTAACATAAAAATTAATATTCAACGAGGACAGAGCAAATAATTGTGCAGGCTTAAGTGTATAGGGCATCATGTTGCCCTTCTGGAAGCGGTAAGTGACAATGATATTAATTTAATATTAAGAAAATCATTTATTAGTCCAAAAAATGTTTTTAAATTGAAAACATACGTAATTTTTTCGATCTAGCTCACAAGAAATTATAGTTTCTTGACTTAAACTCAACCAATAATTAGTATTTTTCGTAAAAAATGTTTAATGGTATAACCATTAAATTATACTTGGTTCGTTATAATCGAATTATATTGGTCAATAAGAACTTAGAATATTTAAATTTAGTTTAAGTTTTGATTTTTAAATTGAAGTTATTGATTAAACTTATATTATATTATATATAATTATTGATTGAAAATTAAAATTACTTAAATACAGGAAACAATTTGTCATTAACAAATTGATAAAATTATTTAATTCATTTGGAAATTATTGAAGCCATTTTGAAAATCAATCCAAAATGGACAAAAATATTTACCAGTAAATTTAAAAAAACACAAAAAAAAAGATTTTTGCAACAAAATTCTATCTTTGGACTCTTAAATCTATTTAGTAATGTATTTCAATTCGTACTGCTATCTCCTGGATGCTCTTTAAAGAGTAGGCTCGCTCTTAGGCGTTTCTCTTCCACTGATGGCTTAAAAGAGAGTCACCGACGCATGGCAAGATGAGAGCTGCACAGAGAGATACTTAGACTGATAAGACTATACATACATATGTAGTTCCTAACCACCGATCTTCGCCGATTTCTTTGCAGGCTGCTGTATGCCGCTGTCATCGCGGGAGCGTTAGTCGGTGCCGACGCTGTAAGATATATAAAATAACTTACATTTGCATATATCCAGTACGCAACCGTATTTACTTTCTTTTAGCAATTTTGGAAGAAAGCCGGTATGACTGGTTCGATCCAGGATGATTTCAATAAAACTGCAAATATATCCCCATACAACTACGAAAACTACGACGTCCTTGACTCCAACTCCGCAAGGAATGGTGTGCCGCAGTCAAGTAACTGTACGGCTGGGTACGCGGGCTGCGTACCCAAGTGCTTGGCCGAGAAGGGCAGCCGGGGTATGCCGGGTCCGCTTGGACCGACGGGACCCAAGGGCGAGATCGGATACCCCGGCCAGGAGGGACCTGTGGGCGATAAGGGCCAGAAGGGTGACCCCGGTCCATATGGACCACGTGGCTACAAGGGTGAGCGCGGATCAACAGGTATTCCCGGCAAGGCTGGCGTATCCGGTGTTCAGGGTTCTGCTGGCAATCCTGGTCCCAAGGGCGACAATGGCAAGGACGGCTGCAAAGGCAAAGACGGCCTGCCCGGTCTGGATGGTCTGAGCGGAATGGCGGGACCTCGTGGCTTTCAAGGTCTGTCCGGCAGCAAGGGCGAGAAGGGTGAGCCGGCCAAGGAGAACGGAGATTATGCCAAGGGCGAGAAGGGTGAGCCCGGATTCGCGGGCACACCCGGCTTTGCCGGAAAACAGGGCAATCCCGGCGAAAAGGGCGACCGTGGCGACACCGGACCCTATGGTGCCAAAGGACCTCGAGGTGTAAGCGGCCTGAAGGGCGATAGAGGTGCTTCCTGCTTTGGACCCTTGAAGCCCGGAGCACCGGGTGCGAAGGGTGAGAAGGGCGAACCGGCTGGGAACAGTGGATCCAGTGGAACATTTAGCAAGCAAGGACCACGCGGCGACACCGGAGAGAAGGGAGTGCCAGGACCGAGCGGCCAGAAGGGTGAGCGCGGCGATGAGGGCGACACTGGAAATGATGGCCCGAAGGGTGAGAAGGGTCTGCCCGGCGTCCCAGGAGGTCCTGTAAGTAAATTCCCCTTTTTAATGGCAAAACAGATCGTTTTAACTGGTTTCCATTTTATTTAAGGGTCGCCAAGGTAACTTCGGACCCCCAGGATCCATCGGCCAAAAGGGAGATCGCGGTGAAATGGGTCTAAATGGTCTGGCCGGCAATCCAGGAATGAAGGGAGAGCCAGGACTTGCGGGCCAGACAGGACAGCAGGGTCTGCTAGGTCCTCCCGGACCGCCCGGTGGTGGGCATGGAACACCCGGACCCCCCGGCCCACAAGGACCTCGCGGCTATGGCGGCTTACCCGGACCCCAGGGATTAAACGGAGCTGACGGACAGCCAGGACCGGAGGGATACACCGGACAGAAGGGAGGCGCTGGCTTGCCCGGACGTACTGGCAATGAAGGACCACCTGGCAGAAAGGGCGATAAGGGAACAGCCGGACAAGATGGACCCCCGGGCCCAGTGGGACCCATTGGACACCAAGGACCAACGGGACAGGAGGGAAATAAGGGAGACGCCGGCACGCCCGGCGTTGGCATTCAAGGACCTAAGGGTGAAGACGGCTTGCCTGGGTAAGTCATTTCATAAATATTTTTATATGATTTCAACAGTAATCAATTTCGGTAAACATAAGATTGTTACGCGGACGCGACAATCAATTGATCCATTTTAAAGGATCCTAATCCTATTTATTTTCAAAAATGAATAAAAAATGTGTATCTTCAAAAAGATATCGGCGTGATCTCTCTAAAATCTTTTGAGTGATGATGAAACTTCAATGCTCTATGTAAAAAATATTAGAAAGCCTATTTGAAAAAAACACTACACTACAAAGTATTATAATAATTAATAAGCCATTTTTTTCGTCATTTACTTGCAACTACCTATTGTGATTGTCATTGGAGTAATACCATATATTTTATCCCTTAGATACCCCGGACAAAAGGGAAGCAAGGGAGAACGCGGCTTCAAGGGTAACTCTGGTGTTCCCGGTGACTCCAAGCTGGGCCGCCCAGGAGCCCCCGGCTTAGTTGGTCCAACTGGCCAAAAGGGTGATATCGGTCGCCCCGGAACTAATGGCCAAAAGGGTGAGATGGGTATTAAGGGAGAAGTCGGCGGCAAGTGCTCATCCTGCAGGAGCGGTCAGAAGGGAGAGAAGGGTACGAGCGGTCTGGCCGGAGTTCCCGGAAAAGATGGCGAGCGAGGTGCGACTGGAGAGCGAGGCTATCCCGGAGAGCGTGGACACGATGGAATCAACGGCCAAACAGGCCCACCTGGCGAGAGGGGACAGGATGGTATGACTGGCGCCCCTGGAGCAGATGGTGCCCCCGGCAAACCGGCCATTCTTGATATGAGCTCGGTAAAGCCCATCAAGGGTGAGAAGGGACTTACTGGCCAGGTTGGCTATCCCGGATCAAAAGGATTTACCGGACCGAGCGGTCAACCTGGTCAGCCTGGCGCCAGGGGAGAGGTCGGATTGAAGGGCGACAAGGGCTTTTCTGGACCCCCAGGCATCGATGGAAGACCTGGCCGCCAAGGACAAGATGGTTTCCCCGGAACCGACGGCGTTTCTATCAAGGGTGACCAAGGTGCCCATGGATATAACGGAGAGAAGGGAGACAAGGGTAGGATGGGTCCTCCCGGCAGCAGTGGAGAGCCCGGCAGCTGCAAGCCCGACGATTTGGTGTTACCCCCCAAGGGCAGCAAGGGTGAGCCCGGTCCGCAAGGTGACTTTGGACCTATGGGAGGGCTTGGCGAGAAGGGATCAATCGGAGACAAAGGAGCCAAGGGTGATACTGGTCTAACTGGACTTCCCGGCCCTGAGGGACCCCGCGGCTTGACTGGACAACGCGGCGAAAAGGGCAACGAGGGATCAATTGGTGCCCCCGGCAATCCCGGCAAGGATGGCTTCCGCGGCGTACCCGGACGCAATGGACAACCCGGTGCAAGGGGCGAGCCTGGAATTTCGGTGGCAGGACCCAAGGGTCCGCCTGGTCTGAATGGTCTGCAAGGCGAGAAGGGCAACCGCGGCATATCCGGACCGCCTGGTCCGCCAGGTAGCGATGGCAGCGTTGGATATCCAGGTGATAGAGGCGACGCCGGCATGCCCGGACAATCCGGCCGTACGGGACCTGTTGGCGAGAAGGGAGAAGTGGGTCCGGTCGGCCCCGCCGGTCCTTCTGGACCTCCAGGCCTTCCCGGTATGGACGGCGTTCAGGGAAAAGATGGCGCCCCGGGACAACGCGGAGATAACGGCATGGTCGGCATGCCCGGCAACAAGGGAGAACGCGGCGCTGTTGGCAATGAAGGACCCAAGGGCTTCACTGGCGTCCCTGGTGCTATCGGCAAGCGCGGACTTCCAGGAGCAGCCGGAGTCTCTGGTAAGTCATTCCAATAATTTTTAGACACCGATACCGGTTTCAAGCATTAGGTTCTAAGAATTCAAATTAAGACTGAAGTTAAATCTAACAATATCTGATCCGTACTTTTTCTGCTCCAATTCTCCAGGTGCCAAGGGAGATAAGGGAGCTGCTGGCTTGACTGGCAACGACGGACACCCAGGAGGCCGTGGTCCTCAGGGAGCTCCCGGCTTAGCGGGAGTGAAGGGTGACCAAGGATTGCCTGGTGTCCCCGGACAGCCTGGTGCGGACGGATTGAATGGCGAGAAAGGTGCCCAGGGACTGCCCGGCTTCGATGGAGCTCCCGGCTTGCCCGGCGACGCCTCTGAGAAGGGACAGAAGGGTGAGCCCGGCATTTCCGGACTTCGTGGCGATACAGGTCCGTCCGGAGAGCCGGGTTGGCCCGGTGAGAAGGGTTTGCCCGGATTGGCTGTTCACGGACGTCCTGGTCTGCAAGGCGAGAAGGGCGACACTGGACGCAACGGCTTCGATGGAGCCGACGGACTTCTCGGCGAGAAGGGCGAACAAGGAATACAGGGCATTTATGGCTTGACCGGAGAGAAGGGATCTGTCGGTGCACCCGGTATTCCAGGTGTTCCTGGACTGGATGGCCTGCCCGGCGCACCCGGTGCTCCTGGTCCTGTCGGCTATCCTGGTTTGCAAGGAGACAAGGGTCAGGTCGGTTTAACCGGACTGAACGGAATCAAGGGTGATATTGGACCCGTCGGACCCCAAGGCTTTGTGGGCGCTCCTGGCGTTAAGGGCGAGCGCGGTATTCGTGGTCAGCCCGGTATTTCAGCTGTCATCGACGTGGAACGCCTTCGTGGAGATAAGGGATCGCAGGGCGAGCGTGGAATCGCCGGACAAAAGGGCGAACAGGGCGCACGAGGCGAACAAGGTGCTACTGGCTACGTGGGAAGCAAGGGTGATCGCGGTTTCGAGGGACTCCCTGGCGCCAACGGATTAAATGGTTTGCCAGGTCAAAAGGGTGACATCGGACTTACAGGAGAGTCCGGCTATCCAGGACGTTCTACTAAGGGCGAGAAGGGTCTGCCCGGTCGCCCCGGCAGGAACGGACGTCAAGGTGAGTCTATATTCCGATTCACCAGGAAAAATTACACTTAAAATAGATTTTGAAGGATTTTGGTTCTTCTCTTAGAATTTGAGAAGACCTTTGGAAGAAAAAGGCTAAAGACAAGTTATTTTTTGGTTTTATTATTATTATTGATTATATTTATTTGTGACTAATTTCCAATTCCTACTTTCTATCACCCATCACCCGGAATTTAGGTGTTTTCGGACCTCCTGGAATCAAAGGTGACCGCGGTCTACCGGGATTGGCCGGTGAGCCCGGTCTGGTGGGCATGCCTGGAAAACTTGGACCAACTGGCAGCAAAGGAGAGCGTGGTTTGGCCGGCAGCCCCGGACCAGCAGGACAGGATGGCTTCAACGGCGCCTCCGGACCAAAGGGAGATGTGGGAGCGCAGGGTTTCAAGGGCGAACGTGGACTCAGCGGCTTAGAGGGACAGAAGGGATACAAGGGCGACCAGGGACTCCAAGGCCCTCCTGGTCTGCCCGGATTGGTCGGAGCAAAGGGAGACAGAGGCTTCCCCGGAGTACCCGGAAATGAAGGACTTCCTGGCCGGGCTGGCGAAACTGGCTACGCCGGAGCAAAGGGACGCGATGGACTCGACGGACAACCGGGTATTCGGGGACAGAAGGGCGAGCCGGGATTGGTGCAACCACCGGGACCCAAGGGAGAACCAGGTCAGCCGGGTCGCAATGGACAAAAGGGAGAAGTCGGACGTCCGGGAGAGACTGGCTTGATCGGCCTTCAGGGCGAGCGAGGCCAAAAGGGTGAGCACGGCCTGATCGGAGCGACTGGACGCGTGGGTCAACCCGGTCCCAAGGGAGATCGCGGAGAGCAGGGCCCACAGGGTTATCGAGGAGCGGATGGTTTGATCGGAGTGAAGGGCGAACAGGGTGCTCCCTGCTCCGCCGCCCTGGACTACCTCACCGGCATTCTGGTGACGCGTCACAGCCAATCCGAGTCGGTGCCCAGTTGCTATGCCGGCCATACGGAACTGTGGACGGGATATTCCCTACTGTACGTCGATGGCAATGACTATGCCCACAACCAGGACCTCGGATCCCCCGGATCCTGTGTGCCCAGGTTCTCGACGATGCCCGTTTTATCCTGCGGTCAGAACAACGTCTGCAACTACGCCTCGCGCAACGACAAGACCTTCTGGCTGACCACCAACGCCGCCATTCCAATGATGCCCGTGGGAAACAACGATATCAAGCAGTACATCTCGCGATGCGTCGTCTGTGAGGCGCCTGCCAATGTGATCGCCGTGCACAGTCAGTCGATAGCGGTCCCCGACTGTCCGAATGGCTGGGAGGGCATCTGGATCGGCTACAGCTTCCTCATGGTGAGTACACACTCCCGAATTTACTACCTCTGTATCGGAAGCCATTGCAAATGTTGACGCAATTTAATACCACAAAGTGCCGGTTTCCCGACTCACTGTCACAAATTCTAGGACTGATAAAATGCGAAAGCTCACACTAACATGCATCCAGACTTTTTCGTCTCGAAAATACTGATTTCAAAAACTAGATCAGGAAGATACAATCAATTCTGTGCTTAACAGCACTCTGTAATGCTTTATGGCTTAAATAAATTAGAGAAGTTTGTCTGGTCCTAATTTTTTTCGAACAGATAGATTTCTGGGACTTTGAAAGGTACACAGGGAACCGGACCTAAGTTAAAAAAAGTTATGTTCCAATACATTTTTCGATCAATCCTATTTAATATGATAATTATATTTTTGTAAAATTAAGAATTTGGTTGTTTTGAATAATAACTGAATATTAGTTTGTTAGTTTTCTGATCTGATCTTTGCAAATAGTAATAAAATAATTACATAAACATAAGGAAAAGTTATTCTTATGTTTTCATTTTATAGGAGAGGGGTGTTCAAAAATTGATCAGTATTTTATTTACTTAACATGTGTTTACCAATCATTTTAATCCCGTAGCACACTGCTGTGGGCAACGGAGGCGGTGGACAGGCGCTGCAATCACCCGGATCCTGTTTGGAGGACTTCCGCGCCACACCCTTCATCGAGTGCAACGGCGCCAAGGGCACGTGCCACTTCTACGAAACGATGACCAGCTTCTGGATGTTTAACCTGGAGTCCTCTCAGCCGTTCACAGCGCCCGAGCAGCAGACAATCAAGGCCGGAGATCGGCAGTCGCATGTATCCAGGTGCCAGGTGTGCATGAAGAACTCGTCGTAGGACCTCGTAGTAGCACCCCCACAGACACCCAGCACACAGCATAAGTTTAATCTAAATGTAAAGCCCTAAATATACCAACGAATCGTGTGGACACACCTACACACACAAGCACACACTCACAACACACAAACAAACAAAACACACACACACCGACGAACCAACACTGCTACAAATTCCTTAAACTAATCAAAAAAGAAAAACGGGGCCAACGGTCGAAGTGCTAAAAACCGACCTCTTGGTCCACAATGCCATTTTTTATCTGCCAATTAATGTTCTAAACAATTGTAAACTGCTTCTAAGTTACGTTACGTATGTTAAGTAAATCAAACAAATAAATAAACTAGCCTCGGTCGTATGTCGAAAAATAATAAACACCACTCTGCTGCGAGAGCAATATCCATTTCTTGAGCCCCCGATTAAATGCGAACGAAAATAAGGATATAACGAATATTGAACGAATCCATTGACATATGTAGATCGCCTCCTCAATTGCTATACACAACTTTGTCGTTTATTACGTTTACGTTTACAAAACAATCAAAAATGGTAAAATAAAGAAAATATATAAATACATTCAATGTGTATAGCGCTAATAAAGGGAGAACAAATGCCTTAAAGACTATTGTATGAATGTATCAAGTAGATTTTATTAGGATAATAGGTTACTAATTATTTTTTTGGCTCTCTTAATCTGAAGCGTAGAGCTTTTTAGACTTTTGGATTGCATTTTGAAGATCTAAGATAAAACCCAACCTCTCCGAACGTCTGTAATTGAGTATCTTTAAAATTACAGCTGCAAAAATACTTTATATTGTTGGCAGCGCTTCAAAAGATATGCTTTCATTTCTGTCAGATTTGTATATATTTTCTGATTTTTCATTCCTTAAAAAGAGTTGTAAGCGATTTATTTAAGGCATGGCTAATACACCTTAGGTAGCAACATATCATGATCTATATGCAATATTGAAAATCGTTTATGCAATGTAAAGAAGAAATCCCAACCATAAATGGTTAGATCCTCTTTGAAAAACAAGGGTTCGGGGTATCTGTTGTGGTGGAAAATCCGCAGTGGAGAACCCTTAAAAAAAGCAATGCCAACTCACCACGTGCACTTGTGCGCATGACTCTCTCTGTCCGGATGCCAATGTGGGGGTTGGGTTCTCGAGGGGGTGGTGATTGGAGGTTTGGGATCGAGGGGTGGCGGTGGGGTGGACTGCTCCAGGGGGTTGCGAGACATGCGAGACCATATGATAATGATATGCAGACACACGCACACATATTCCAATTGGTGGTTGGAAAAATAAGGGTAGGCCTTTGTGGCTTCAAGTTGGAAAAGTGAGCCAAAAATGTGAGTGGCAGAAGCCAACGAGACTTGGACGCAAGCGGAGTCGTCGGTGGGAGTCGTCGAAACTTCAGCCAGATAAGCGGAGCAGCTTTTGGGAGCTCAGGAGGTGGAGGAGCTGAAAAAAAAATGTGTGTACCCCGAAAGAAACAGTGAAAATTGTGTGTTTCCCATAGGAACTAGCTTATGATTTGGAAAACTAAGAAGTTATAGAGTCCACCGGAAGTGCATCCGCAAGTGCAATCCATTCAAGCAGCAGCAGCAACCGCACTGGAAAAAGAAAGAAGACCCAACCCAACCCCTATTTATGATTATCGTCCTGCTGCTGCTGTTCCAATCGCTCTGCCTCTACTGCCAACGCCTGGTGCTCTACGTCCACGACAGATGCTTCCCAAAGAACGTGCGCCTGCTGCAGGAGGTGGCCGAGACGGTGGGCGATCGTAAGGCACACCAGCGCCTGGCGGAGCAGCAGTTGGAGCAACAGAAGCGCAGCCAGAAGCGTCGCATCCTCGAGCCGGTCCTTCCGTTGGTCGGTGGACTCAACTCTGAGGCTTGTCGCTTTTGTGCGCACAGTCCGCAGGGCTATTGTCGCCATCACTTTCATCTGCAGGAACTGCAGTTGCACAAGCAAAGGGGTTCCGGTGGCGAACAGGACTTTCGACAAATCCGAAGGATCAAAAGGGAGCTGAAAAGAAGTCTTGGTCAGCAGCAGCAACATCTCCATCCGGTTAGAAGCTATCGTCCCGTGCGACTTAGCTCCAGCTGGAGCAGCACTTCCCTAAGCAGTGGATACGGCTCTTTGACGAGCTTTGGAACTGAGGAGCTGGAGGAAGCGTCTGGGGATCAGGAGGTTCTAGAGGAAATTCCACTGGAGCTACATGAGGAAGTTGAGCAGGAGGATTTGCCACAGGAGGAGAGCCAACAACCCCTGCTAACCACACACTTGTAGACCACCTCTTTTTTTAAAGGAGGAATTACCACAGGAGAATACCATCGACCAGTCAAACATGGTTAGCAAAAAGCTTTCTAAGGTTATCTAAGCACCTTAAATATTAAAAAGCAAGAAAGAAAAAAGGACGCTTGAGGGCAACCACTTTCATTGGAAAGGAATCAAAAGAAGAGCTTCCACCTAAATTTTCATTGAAAGAGGACTTAACAGGATAAATACGCAACCCCTGTAGCCGCTCTTTAAGCAGTTTCAGCAACTTGAGAGCCCAGGAGAAGGACATCCACCCCCAGGAAAGCCCAACCTTTTGACAGCCTACACCCCCAAACGGTTTGAAGTGCTCCCTTTGTCTAAGTTTATTGAGTTTGAGAAGCAAAAATTTCTAGTCACATAACAATGTCTGATGTGGAAGTGGACCAACAGCAGCCGCAGCAGCAGGGTCACCCTCATCCCGTTATGGCGATGACCCCTAGGAGGCGTCGCCACAGCGGCCGTCGTGGAGCGGGCTGCCTGGCCATGCAGTCCGCTTCGCAGGATGAGGCGTCTCCGCCTCGCTTCTGCCCACTCCTCGAGGGCATCGAGGACAACTGGACGTGGAGCAAGCGGCACCGCTCCAAGGAGGTGGTGCTCAGCGGACCCAACTCCCGGACCGTTCACTTCCATCCCAACTGGAGCAAGGGCACCGCCGGGGTCCAGGGCAAGCGATCCCTGAACAACGGGCGCTACTACTGGGAACTCCATGTCTCGCAGAGGGTATTTGGCACCTCGATCATGTTCGGGATCGGCACAAAATCCGCCCGTCTCCATGCGAACGCCTTTCGGAACATGCTGGGCGAGAACGAGCACGGCTGGGGACTGTCCCACAAGGGCGTGCTCTGGCACAAGGGCGTGGCCCTGCTCTACACAAAGCGGTTCCGCGAGAACCATCCCACCCAGATCGGAATACTCTTTGATGGTATCGAGGGCACACTTACATACTATAAGGATGGCAAGTGCCTGGGCGTAGCCTTCAGGGGATTGGATCAGGTAAACACAAAAAATAAGACATGTTTCGAATATAAATTACCACCATTCACTGCTCTGTTAGAAAATATCTTTTAAAAGGCCAGAAAATATTATAGCTATCTAAAATTTGTTCCGAATATTTTGAATTTAAACGTATTTAAATGGTATTAAATTATTTATACAATAGGAAAAAGAAAAAAGTTATTGACTAAGCTAATTAAAACCGCCCAAAAACTTCTATACCATCCCTTCAACCTTTTGTTAAAAGTCGTATACTGACATTTAATACCCTGCGTATTCCTTCCCAGATTGATGAACCGCTGTACCCAATCGTATGTTCCACGGCCGCCAAAACGGAGATGACCCTGAAGTGCACCCGGCGAGAGTTTGTCAACCTGCAGGATCGCTGCCGGGCGGTCATAATGCGGCGGGTGCGCAGTGCATCGCAGCTGGAGAAGCTGAAGCTACCGTTGCCCATCAGCGATTATCTGGGGGAGGTGATTGACGAGATGGAGCCTCTCCGTCAGGTAGACAACTACGATATACTGTGTGACGTGTAGAGCACGGAGCATCCTTGGTCCCCGGGGATCGATGATGCGGTGCCACAGTTAGCCCTAAGTTTATAGAGTACGACCTCTCCCCCAGGTGAATCAGCTGGAGATGTGCATAATGAATTACGATTTGTAAGCGGCCCGTGAAACTTTTTGTGCCATCAAGACGGAGCGCATTCCATCGGGAGACTGATGGGTCTCTGGGACGTGTAAATTTTCGCGTAGTATTTGTAAGGATTACTTAGAGAACTGTAGTATTGTTAAGCATATGCTATTATCAAATGGGGATAATTCGGTTTTCAGTATTGTTTCTAGCTTTTTGTTGACAATTTGTAGTGAAAATGTGGGGAAATAGGCCAATTTGGTGCAATATTTGTGATATAAGTAAAGTGAGTAAATTAAATCGTATTTTGGGGCTTCAAGTGCTCACTAGATAACCGCAAAATAAGTTAAGGCCTTTGGGCATAGAGCTAAGCATATTTTTCGGTACAGACGAGTGTGAAATCTAGTCAAAAGTAACACGCTGCTAAACTAATTTTGTATATTCGAAGGCAGTAGTTAAGGCTTAATTAATGTAATATAATAAAACAAACCCGTTTCTAGTCATAAAATGCAAAACAACCCTTATACCCAAAATAATTTAGTAAAAATTGTTTATTATGATTTTTGTAGATTTTTTGTCTCTATATAAATTACTACACATAATTGATTGGTACATGACAAACCAGACAGAACACATGTAAAATGAAATTCGTAAGAAGCGCTCAAAACAATTAAGCGATATTGATTTACAGTTGTCACTTGAATTTACATGAATAAAACATAAATTTACTAACTATTTAAATGAAATACAATACTAAGCACAGGTTCATTATAGCAGGATAGAGCTTTGGTTGGAATCTACAGCTCGTCGGAGAGATGGTTAATGTTTTGTAAGTGGTCCCCGTAATCGGTTGCTTCGCTGCCCACAAAGGTATCGTAGTTGTTGAGTATCTCCAGGTATGACAGTCGATCGTCGTGATCCTCATCGGTGGAAACAAACAGGTGATCCACCTCGTCGTTGGCGATCGCCGTATTACTAGGCACAATCCAGGATAAAACCTCATCGCCCGTGAGCACGCCATCGCCATTGGTGTCGTGATCCTTGTCAAATCGCTCCTTCTCCGTGATCAGCCACTCCTTGTCGTGATGCGAGGCTGAGTCGCCAACAAACTCCTGGAAGTTGATCTTGCCATTATGATCCAAGTCCTTGTCCTGCATTGTGTGCTCCAACAGAATGGGCAGCATTTGTGGATGTTCTTCAGGATTTTGGAAGTAAATAAATTCCTCTAGCGTCAGCACGTCATCTTTATTCGCGTCTGCCGCATTGAACATCTCTTTGTCCTGTTTAATCATCTTCTGCTCTTCCTCGTAGCTGTCAAAGTCAATGGTCTCCTTTTTAAAGTCCTCATCCTCCATGGCGTAGGTATCCTGAAGATATTCCCTCCATGTAATTTTCTCGTCAGCATCCTGATCAATTTCTTCAAATCTATCAGCGGCTTCCTCTTCGGATAGTTTTCTGCAAGAGTATTTTTTTAAGTACACGTTTTATAGAAATTTTTGTTTTCCGTTCGTCAGTTTGCAAGCAGAAGCAGTTATTTGCCAAAAGGATAGATTATTTGCTTGGCTAACATTGATGCAGTATTAATCAACAGACAACACTCACTTAAAAGACCTTAATATCCAGGCTTTCAACTCATGCCGGTCAATAAATTCATCCTTATTTAGATCCATCATCTTGACCAGTATTAGCAGACGTCTCTTCGATTCCTCTGGTGTAAGTGTGTCGAATTCCTGAGCCTCTTTTGTATTGCCTAATGTTGTTAAATAGTAATAACAGAACATAAGCGTGAAGACTTGAATGGAACATAAAGCAGAAGCAATGCGATTGACGTGTTGCTTTCCAAAAACAATTTTAATGGTTTTACGAAAAAAGCACGGTGCGAAAAACTACATTTTCAAAAAAACAGTATATTCTTAAAAGTTAAAAAAAAAGATATCCAAATTGTTAACAAAAAATTTAATTTTTAATAAATAATTATAATCCGTTTTGAAGCAATGTTGACGTCATAAATCCATTAACATAGCTATTCGCGAGCATTAAAAAAACTTTTTTAAGAGCATACATACGAATGTTTTTGACTGGTCCATATTCTCTTGATGTTTGAATGATTCTTTCCATGTGCAAAGCCACAAAAATAAACCTCATCCAAATAAACAAACATATCGCAGCCTCATACACCGTAATAAATTAAATATTGATTTAAATGCTGAGAGCATAGTCTCTAGATCTTAGAAATAAAAACAAATAAAGTTTATTCATCACCTACTCTGTTTAAGGATCTTGTGGAAAGGGGTAATGAAAGGGTTTGATTAAAGTTTAAAGTATTGTAAATAATAAACAACATTAAAATTTTTTTAATGTTGTGGTTCATTTTTCAAGACAAATCAAATAAAAAGTAAAGTATAAAGTATATATATTCAACATCAGTTGTAGAAATACACAAAATTAATGTGATTATCCCATTTTTGGACCAACACCTTGAGATTTTATATATCTGGCATACTAGCCCTTCGGTTTTATGGAAATTATTCTCGCAGTGTAAAAATTAAAATCTGTTTTTTATGTATAGCGCATGTTAAAAAATCTTCATGATCGACCGACTATAGCTTTAATAGGCACGAGCGGAAATAATATGATAAATTTGAAATTATGCACACACGTTGTCATAAATTTGCCCAACGGGAGGAAAAACCTTTTGCTTCTGGATCCAGTCTGTGTGCTACTATAATAGATCTTTGACATATGGATTTTCCATATTTACAAGATCACATTGGTTTCACGAGGTGACTCACCGATGATGGCTTCGTGATCGAACTCCACGTTGTGCTCCCCATCCTCGCCGTGATGGTGGGCATCCCGGGGGGCGTAAACCCCGTCCTTGACCCGCTCCTTGCTAGTGTGCTTATCGTGCTTGTGGTTGGCCACTGCCCCGATGGCAGGCATTGGTCCCACGGCGGCCAAAAAGGCTACCGCACAAAGCGCAAACGGCAGAAGCGGTAGATTTCTAGTCATTTTAATTGATTATGCCGAGAGGCGATGTTTTTCTTTTATTTTTTTGGCAGCTTCCCGAGCACTTGAGCAGATGTGGATGGTGGAGGGGGGGGGGTAGCAGATGGGCGGCGGATATACGCACACGTAATCCCCAACAATACAATGACCTCAGTTCACCTTTCGCCAGCTGATGAAATATGCAAATGTCAGTCAAAAAAATACAATACTTATTTTTCGAATTTAAATACCCACCCAGTAGACCGACAGCTGTTGTCTCCTGTTACCAATCCAAATTTCTCTTAAGGACAAATAATTATTTCAATGCCTTTTATTCCACTTGCAGGTTTCCCCTTATTGCACTTAATTTAATTCACAAATCTTTTAGTTTCCTCTCATTTTAAACCGAAATTCGTTTATTTATTTCCGCAGACAAAAAACGAAAAACCAAACAGTGTCACCCCAGCAATAAATAGCTGTTTGGCTATCGAGCTATCGATATTGCATCCCTGATTCCATTGCTTACCAACACTTCTCCGAGGCAGTGCAAAAACTTACCAACACTTGCGCAACTTGTAAATTTGTTGGAATTTTGTTTTTCTCTACATAATTAACAAAAAATAACGTAATTAAAAGTTAGAAAGAAGTTCACCCAGGCTAGCTACAGTTTAGCCTATTAAAAGCACCAGGTGAGATAGTATATCCAAAAACGACAAGAAAGTATTGGATAAGGAAATAACATGAAGAAAAAGGCAACGATGATGAATTAATTCAAATGACATCATTTTGCGACAGCTGTGTGGCAAAAGTCTCGTTTGGAGCCGCGCGTTTATTTATTTGGAATTTGTATCATAATTTACGTTTATTTTGTGTGCGCCAAACACGCAAAGGACACTTCAGCGAAATAGGTGTGCGTGTATTTTTGGCAGGACTTCTTGTGTCTGTGTGTGTGCAAGCTTCTCTATCAGTGTATGGTGTGTGCAGGAGTTGTTGACCGGCTTTTATTTTTATTTTATGATTATTTATACTACTTACTCATTAGTCGACCGGTCAAGTCTGTAATTATAGTCCCTGACTAAAACTTAACATGCAACTGGTCGCGGGTATGACTATATAGCGGGTGTGAGTTAGAAAGAGAACCGCACATGGGTGTCGTCAGAGGAATTCCAAGGGGATTCACGGGATTAACTAAAAAAACGAAAGTTAGAAAATTCGACTTTAATTAATATAAAATTTTGATTAAATAATAGTGGCACAGGAAAAGAAAAATACTCCAATAAAAAAAAAGAATCCTGTTTTTAGGTTATAAATAAAATTCGATAAAAATGTGTATGGGAGTTGATTATAAGATTATTTGTGTTTTTTTAATAAACAATATAATTTATCTTAAATACATCACTAAAAGCCAAAAATATCATGGCTTTTTAACCTCCCAGAATCTTCATTAATTTTAATTTGAAAAAAAAGTTTATTCGCTTTATTTCTATTGGAAAATATATATAAATTTCACAATACAATAGTTACCTTTTTTTAAGTCAATGCAAAAAAAAGCCAAAATTTTAATAAATTAAGTGCGCTTGAGAATTGAGATTTTTGTTTTTTTAATATTTGCATATATTTGATTGGCTTTTTGAGCCGTCATTACCAAATCCCTTTATAACCTTTGTTCCGCCCTCGCCGCTGGGGAGTACATATCGTATATTGCATTGATGATTATCCTGGCCGAATGCGTCACTTTGTCATTTGGGTATCTGCCACCTTACACCGTAGGCTAATCCAATAAAAGCTGCCAACCATTTCAGAGAGCCACGCTGCGCGACGCCTGCCTATAAATAATAAGCACACCAGCCATCCGCAGTAAAAGCCACAACAGTTAAGCTAACGCTGGAAAAACCTCTTGGGCGAAGCGTCGAACCCGATTTTAGTTTCAGTCGAGAGCCAACCTTCAGCAGAGCAACAGCGAGCTTTTACCCCCTATTTCGTTTCATTTTGCGTATATACTTGTATATATCTCATTTGTTTTCACTTACGTTTGACGGTCTTTCATTGGCACGCCCGCGCTAATTAATCCGCAGATATCCAGCAGTAATCAGGCCAAATGCCGTACATTATCATACGGGGGAACTTAGCCTCCTACAGCCACAAATATCCATGGCGAGTGCTCGTCTCTGGATTGAAAGGTAAAGCCCGTACTGTTCAGTTTGTCCAACGCCCGTAGATATAATATCTCATTTTCGTTTCACTTTTATTTTGTCGTGTGTTTACTATTGCGACACAATTAATTTCGAGAGCTTGGCAAACAGATACGAACACACAGATATACATCCACCCATACGAGCAAAGCACGCTAGCTTTTTGAGCATTAGTTTCGGTTTTTCCACTTTGCACTATGAAAAAACACTTTTTGAATGGCTAGACAGTGGCGGCAAGGTTAGCTTGCCACTAGCCGTTATTTTCTTAATTTCTTTCTTTTGTCAGTAAGTTACTGTGAACTCTTATTTTCTTTTTCTATTAAGACAGCGCCTAGTTGCATGTTTTAATGTTCTTTTTTGGCACACAATCTGAGGCCTACTACTTTATAAAAAAAATATTTCAATGAATTGACACTATCGGTTGAATATGTTTATTTGCCTTACGTTCATTTCCTGACAGTTTAAACAAAAACACACTATGCTTTAAATAATACAATCCGACAGACAACTAAACAAAAGTAAAAAAGCTGGTTTTAAACCAATTTTGCGGAGACGTTCTCAGTCTTTGTTGAAAGATATTAAAAGCGACGAGCATTATACTTTCAATATTTTGTTAAAAATCTTATGCAGTGCTTTTGGATATGTTATAACTATTGTGCAATATTTAAGCACTTCTTGGTAGTATTAGTTTATTTTTCCATCAAATCAACAGCTGCCCTTTAATTGCATGCCAATTGCCCCAAAATCCCACCACCCCGCACCTGTTCGCTTTATTACGACCGGCACTGTGCGAAGTTTTGCTCCCGCAGACGAGGTCTCAATCGTCAGTTTGGATTTGTTTTTCGCTGCGTGCAGTTCGCTTGGCAGACCGGGTCTGCAGTTTATATATACACCCGTACGTACACCGCATATATCGACTTAATTCCGCTGCATATTTGTGGAACATTTATCTGTGCTGGGCAGAAGTCAATGTACTGGGATGTAGGCACAAAGAATACACGAGAAACTCCCATTTTTATTTTGTTATGAAACAGCAGTAAATATTTTTTGGCTTTTTGCTTAATTAACACACTTGCATCGAAAGACAATGGCCCTGGGCTGACGTCACCGTCCGTCCCAGCCGTGTTATCTTTTGTTTGCCCTGTTTAAACATTTAGCCACACCATGAACGAAAAGGAAAGCAATTTCCCAAGAAATAGCACCCCTGATAATCATTGCCCACCTACGCGTAAATACTTTCAGCTGACGACATCGAGCAGTTGAATAAGTTTTCTTGCGGCGGCTACAGTGACGAGTCCACTATCGTCTACCTAGTGCATCCTTGTCGCATTCTATCGGCGCTAGAAGTGAGTACCCTTCAGTTCATAGCAAGAGTATAATGTACTCATTATGTTTGGCCTTACCAATAATTAAACTGCTTCAAATTTTGCTTTAAAATCTCATTTATAACTGTCTGATTAAGAATTGAATTTACTATCTACTATTTCAACATTTATATTGGCAGACATTGATAAATCAATTTTTAAAAAACTCTAGAAACCTAATAAGGCAGACAATCGACTGAAGTACCAACTTGTAACACTGTAGTAGATATGTACTGTTTGTCATTATCCTTGTACCTAGGCAATCAACTAATGGCAACTTCCCCGACCATTACCTTCAATTATCCAGTGACTCATGGACTACTTCCCTCCATTCTTTGCTTTCAGATTCTTGGATTTCGCGTGGTGGCTAGCTCGTCGACGGCCGTAAAGCAGGACTACAACGAGTACATGTGGACGATGCGCAAGGAGTTCGATGAACCAGAACCTTTGGAGACAGAGTCCGTAGTGCGCGAGAATCTATCGAATATTGGCCGCGAGGCAGCCAGTTTAGGCAACTATCACAAGGTGGATTCGCCCGAATAGGGACCTTGTTCGAAATCCAGCAAGCAACCAACAACTCTACTCTAATTGTATAATTTTGTGTGTGTGAGATTGTGTAAGGCGTGTGCGTGTTTCAGTGTGAAAAACTATAGTAACCTAGGGAATACTGTTCCAAAACATACTCTGAGTGAAGAAGGTGACTGATTGAGTCCCCGAAGACGAACAAACTATGAGTGAGGGCGTGACCGGGCTGAAGGAATCTCTGAATCTCAACAGCGAGCAACCTTCGGCGATCGTTTCCGCGGCATCGGCTGTATCCTTGAACACCGCCACCGCCGCTATCCCTGCCAATGTGGTGACCATTCCGGTGCCCATTCTGCAGTCGGAGGGCAACTTCGCCTACATCACCGTCAAGGGATCCTTGCACGATTACACCTGCACCATTTTTGGCCTGAATCAGGCTGAAGTTCAAGCCCTATCCAAGCGCTTCGAGAGCGGAGTTAAGGCCTGCGTGAATGGTATTATGGTGGCAGTGCCGCCGATGGTCATGCTAAACACTTTGGCCCAGCTGAGCTACAAGGTTGTCTGCAGTTGCGGCGAGGCCGAGATTTGTTGGACCATGCAGCGTGAGGTCTAATTCGTTGAAAGGGATCACACTGTCACACTGTCAAGCATCAGGCAACTGGAAACGAAAGCACAAGGAAAGTCAAGGAATTCGGCATTGTAACGAAACTCTCGAAATTATCAGCAGGCTAAAATGGATCACCATAACGCCGACAACTGCAAATGCCACAAGCAGACGCAGCCGGCACAGCAGACGCTCAGCGACATGGACTTTGACCGGGGCATTTGGAATGCAGGTAGGACAATCATTTTCATACACCCCTGACATCATTGTGGTCAAGTTCTAACCATTTCCTTTTCCCTTATTTTGTAGCTATCTATAACGAACTGGAACGTGTAAGGGAGTTCATCAAGAAGGGCCAGTCCATGGCTCGGGATGACTGCGACTATACGGCTTTGCACTATGCAGCCCGCAATGGCAACGAGCCAATCTGCAAGCTACTCCTCGACGAGGGCAAAGCAGATGTAAATGCTGTGACCAAAGCAGGAGCCACATCACTGCACCGAGCAGCCATGATGGGTAAGATGCAACTATTTTACTACTAATTTTATTGTCATACTAATGGATTTATGCATTTTCAGGCCATTTGGAGATTGTTAAGCTACTGTCGGGACACAAGGCTAATCTTCTGCTCCAGGACGAGTGCGGACAGAGTGCTTTGCATCGGGCAGCGATGCGTGGGCATCTGGAGGTGTGTCGTTTCCTGCTGCAGCAGGAACCGGCACTCAAGCTGGTCAAGGATAACAAGAACAAAATTGCATTTGAATACATCATGGAAAACGCCAATGATGACTTTAAGCTATTGCTGAAGCCCTGAAAGGGCTTATCATTCCCCTACCGTTCAGCGTAAATTTGTTTTTTATAGTTTAAGAACTAAAATGTTTTTCTTTTAAAACTTTATTTTGTTTATTTAGTCTGTCAACACGTTTTCTATAAAATTGCACCCGATTATCGTTGTAAAATCTTACTTTAAAAATTGCATTCGTTCTTTTGTTTGCATTGTGTGTGTGAGATCGATTGTATATGGAAAACTAATCTTAACGTTGGCATAGTCAAATAACATAGTAGAAACATCATATAAATCATATTATATATAGAATATATACAAAACATGCCTAATAAACATGAAATGTGCAAGTAATTTAAAAAAGAAAGCAAACTCTGTGCCCTAAAAGATGTACACACAGAAAATGCTTTAAAAAGTGCGAAATTTGTGTGGTAACTCTGTTCTAAATTTGCAATACATTATAAGAAAGTTAATATCACATTAGAGTCGTGTAAAGGTGTTAATTAATTTGGTGTTACAGAATTAAGGAAACTATTATAAAGTCCTAACACAACCCTCCACACACTCGTCGCCAATATACAAAATATATATGCTACATACCATATAACCATACATATAAAACCTATATAATCTGAATAAATTCCTAAAACGCAATCAATCCCAAGACTCGGCACATCTTATACCAGGTATCCGGGCCGATTCTATTCCCCTAATTAGGGGAAGCTCGGCAAAGTCGCTGAGGTAGAGCTTCAATGTCGCCGGAATGGAAAATTCATCTACGATCCTGCCCAGCGAGGAGCGTTTCTGTGTAGGAAGATACTTATGCTGCACCTCTGGCCGCGTGCGGAGGGATTTCAGGAGACGCTGGCGGATTTCCAGACGAGCGAGGGACTGCAGTGAGCGCGGCTGGGTGCCAAACGAGGACATTTCACACTCGAATTCTACGCGGGCTGCTGGCCAATCCTTCGGCAAAGCTCGATGTTTGTGCGGAAACTGGAAACCAGCGTTGCCTACGCAAAAACAAATGGGTTAACTTGGAAATTCACTTAAAATATTGTCTAATTTCGCTTCTTTTTTACCCAACTTACATAGCAATCTTGCAAAGGCCAGACTTGTTGCCGAGCAATTGGATCGCAGCTCGTTGACCACATGCTCCCGGCAGATCTGCGCCAGGTTGCAACCCTCGTGGATTAGGAACTCAGCCAGTTCCAGTCGATGCAGATTAATAGCCCTCGACAAAGGAGTTTGGCAGTAGATCAAGCCACAAACTATCGTGGGTGCACAGGAGCCATATAAATCCCTTCGGGCGCTAATTAATTTGGCCAGCAAAACACGCAGGATGCTGGCAAACTCCTTCACACAAACGATCTGCTGCACGGCAAACAAAACCAGACCCTCATCCTGGACATCCGGATAGAGACCCAATTTTCGATGTTCCTCGGCTACGGTCAGCAGATACTCCAACATTTCTGGCCGTTGCAGATGGATGGCCAGCATAATGGGCGTGTGGTTGTCACCATCCCGAACTAACAAACTTTCGCCGTATTGCAGCAGGAGTTCCACCATCTCCCGATCGTTGTACTCCACGGCGAGATGCAGGAGGTGTTGGGATGCTAGTCGACGTGCTCCACGCTCCAGAAGCAGTTTGGCCATCTGGCCATGACGACCCCTCACGGCGTACTGCAAGGCTGTGTGATTCTGCTTGTCCTGAAGGTTGATACGAGCACCTCTTTCCACCAACTCTTGGGCCAGATCCACCAAACTGCAAGCGATGGCAGTCATTAGGGGGGTCTCACCCTCATCATCGGTGTCATTGATATTGATATTTGTTTGAAGCAGCAACCGGGCGGATTCCATAGACTTGCTCTCGATAGCCACATGGAGGGCGGTCTTGCCATCACTTAGCGTCTTGGCATTAACCAGAGCTCCGTGCTTGATTAACAGTTTGGTCACTCCGGCGAAGCCCGCTCCCACATGGAGTGGGGCATATCCTTCGCTGTTGACCACATTGATAGGAGCACTATGTTCCAGAAGAATGCGTACACACTCCTCGTGCCCCCAGCAGGCGGCATAGTGCAATGGAGTGGCCAAGTCAGCGTCGTAAAGGTGTGGATCCTGCTCCCGACAGGACACGCAGCACTGGGATATGAACTCTCCGGTATTCTCGAAGGTCTTTGCGTAATACTGATATAACTGGCTGTCTTCTCCTCCGCCACCGACTCCGTTGTCAGAACAACTTTCGAACTCATCAACCCACTCAAGTTTCTCCATACCTTCGGGCGTTCGCTCGATTTCCAGACTATCAACGTGAGCTGAAATGTAAAGAATTCGAAAGATATTTTCAAAACTTCAGATTTTTGTATTGCCTTGCTTGATATTTTTAAATGGTTTGTCTGTTTCCGTACACATGCCACATAGAAGTCTCACGTTCTCCCAAACTGAACTCTTTTTGAAAAATTTATTCTTATCAATGGCCACCCAAGGCCCAGCTACAACCGGTTATTTGGCTCTCTCGGCATTTTCCACTCGCTTTTCTCTGCGCTTGCATTATGTTCGGGGCAGATGTGGGTCATTGGATACACGCTAAAAAACTTATACGAAAAAAATTAAATGTAATTTAAAATAGAAAAAATATGTTAAAGCATAAATACATATTTCTGGAAATTTTAATCACGATCTGAAAATTCTAGCAGTAGTATAAAGTGTAATGGTTGTGAAATCTTTTAGTCCACATGATATTTAAACACTCCCACAATTTCAAAACTCAACGAGTTTTAAATAGATTTTCTTCAAATTCTGTAAACATATAAACCAGATGAAGTCGATTCCATCCGTTTGTTCATCGATTTTCTTTCGACCAGCTGTTGTCCAACTGGTGGAGAGCTCTGTGGCTATTAAAGTTTAGTTTTTATTTCTAGTATTCAACTTGTATCATCACCACAATAGCACATAATTTTGTGTAATTTAAAATATTTAATTTTTTTCAGAAAATGTTTGGAGTACGAAGATAAAAATCAGTGGCAGCGGAAAACTCACACTGATGGAAGACATCCAGCTCGGGCTCTTCACAGGACTGCACCAGGAGCTCCAGCAGCTCGGCGTCGCCCAGAATGGCCGCCGTGCCCACGGCTGTGCGTCCGCATGTGGGCGATACATACGAAGCCTGTGCACCTTGCATGATGCATCCCAAAGCCTGCTCAAAATCTCCACTCTGTACCGCACTCAGCAGACGTTCGTTCAGGTCATAGGACAGCATTTTGCCATTGGGTTAGTGATTTAGTGAAGACTTATTCAAAGCGGATTAGCAAAACGCGAAGCGAAAAAGAACAAACCAAAGGAAAAACTGCTGCCTGCCGTGTGAATAGTGCGTAGATGTCGTCAGCGGTTGCAACACTACCCCGGGAAAATCCAACGAAAAACTGAAACCAAACAACCGGTGTGCGCAAGAGCAAAGCCGGTATCACAATTGGTGGTTGCTTTATACGGCCAAGAGCAGTTTAGGGCGGATTATTTGAGAATTGTTCTCAGCCCATGAGAAAGACAATAAAGAGAACAGTCAGCTGGTATTTCGCTTCCAGGCACACTCAATGCTGTGTTGGTTTATTTTCGCCATCAGTGTGCGCAGATGCTAGGCTTGTGAATTATGGATGTTGCCTCAGATTAAAAAACGTTTAACATTAGCTAGTCTACTTGATTTCCTTGGCTTCCTTGGCGTTTTGCAGCGATTCGGTGATGAAGAGCTTGGCCAGCGACTGAGAGCAGAATTGGGCGATGTGCTGGGCATGGGTATTGATCTGGCCGGAGGTGATGGTGGCCGTCAGCCGGGCGGGCACAGGCATGGGGCGGAACTGCTTAATGACCTCCTCCTCGGCCACCGTGGGTTCACCCTTCGAGGTGCGTACGGCGTTCTCAGCGGCCAGCTTAGCCAAAGCACGGTGCTTCTCCTGAAAAACCAAAGAAAGCAATTCGAAAAATTAATATTTATAGAAGATAATTTCATTTTTAAATATATGATTATGATTGGCATCAAATTAAAGGGGCTAATTTCTTATACTTAGTTTAAGCCAAAACAATAATTCATTTTTAAGGTAATTAAAATACAAAAGCTAATTGAATTTGATCATCTAGGGATTAGAGTCTGTATTAAAACTCTTTGCAATTAAACCTTCCTAATACGTTATTTGAAAAACGAATTCCTTACCGTATCCTGCTTGAAGACCACCTGCTGATACTTGTTATAGCGGACAGCCTCCTGATATAACTCGTCAACACGCTCGATCAGGCTGCGCATTTGGTTCTCCAGCACGGAAGCGGTGCCCAGATCCAGGAAGTTGTGGCCCTTGTCCTCAGGCAGCAGCTCGTTTAGCTCGCTCATCATGATGTTGGTCAGCGGTGAGTTCTTGATCACAATGGGAATCTCGGCGAAGAGGCTCTCGTAACCCACCTTCAGGGTGCGGAATGCCTCGGGCGTGAAGTCGCCATCCTTGTACATTTGGATTGCCTGCGGCGTGAGGCGGTATGCCTTCAGGCAGAGGAATCCGCGCGAAGACTTTTGCGTATCGTAGACCACTACGACGGACTCCTCAATGCTGGTCTGGTAGTGGTACTGTGATTCCAGTAGAGCAAGAGACAGGCTGTTGCCCACGTCTGAGCTTTGGTACCAGCCCACATGGAGATGGTCCACGTTGACGCGGCGAAGGCGACGCATCACAGTCAGCTGGTACATCTCCTCGTCCATGGTCTCATCGCCGCTCTTGGGGAACGGGAAGCAGTTGGTAATCTCCAAGCACTTGTCCACCACCAGGCCGAGCAGGGCGCCCTGGGCGAGGTCCATGTTGCTCGATTCCTCGTGGCAGTGCTTCACCATTTTCATGACGGCCTGAAAGAGGGAATTGAATTAATTAATTGCCAAAATTGTATTTGTCATGCATTTGCACAGGGGCGTGGAGGAATTGTTTTCTTGTTTTTATAAGATACTCAATCTCAAACCTGGTGTGAATTAAAGATTTACTATATTTGTATGTAAAAAATCTATTTTTTTGGAATGGGTTCACCGGCTCCCAATCCCTTTCAGTCCACGCCCATGTCCTCACACACACTCGCAAAGCAAGCAAATATTTGAGCCAGCGCGTGGCATCAACTTTTGCGGCTTCCGCACCGGTTTTAACGGGCGAGTCCTGGCCGTATGTTTTAGCCAGGAGCACTACTTACCAGACCATCGCATTGGACATAGTTTATGGTGTTATCCGACTCCTCAGTGCGGGCAGCATGACGATTTGCGCGATTTGCCATGTTGACGAATTGTTAGCGAAAAGACCCAGCGACGTGAACTCGGCTGCAGCACAATATAACGTTAACCAACACTGCGGCCCGCTTTGCAACAGTGCTCTAAAATCAGCTGTCGGCCGAGCGATAAAAAAAAGGGCCGAAAGTATATTTACTTTTGTTTATCAGACGAAAGCAAAACGACTGAAAGAAAAAATATTTTCTAGCCGAAAACTGGCCCGCTTGTCACAAACAAGCGGAACTGATAGCAGTTGCCATTGGACTAGAGCCGAGGTTGGAAGCGGGTGAAGTTAGTCTGGAGTCTCTTATTAGCAACGCTGGCAATTTAGTAAAGATCTCAAAAATGTCAACTAATTGGCGTGAATTGTTCCCTACTAAGCTCACATTTGTGATCTTCTTACTGTATATGTCCCTATTTATAGGACAGGGTATGTAATTCTTTAGGGGATCTACTAATTAAGCCAAAGCCCCACCCTAATTTCGATCTTTTTCAGGCATCTTTGTCACAGCTTCCCAGGAATCTAATAACTCATATGGTTACAATACCGTCACGGTTGTGCTGCTCACCGAGGTCTTTAAGTTGATTGTTTCCACGTGTCTGTACTGCCGAGAGTTAGTAGTAGTTAGTAGTACTTATTTCTTCGTTACCCATTAACCTTGGCCTTTCTCTGCAGCCACGATCTTCGCTCTCTAGTTCGGGATGTCCACAAGGATCGCAATGTGCTGGCTTTGTACATGGTGCCCGCCTTTCTCTACTGCCTGTACAACAATTTAGCCTTTGTCAACTTGGCCACATTCGATCCCACGACTTACTATCTGTTGCTGCAACTACGTGTCGTTGTCACGGGCATACTGTTCCAAATTATCTTTAAGAAGTACCTATCGCAAAGGCAGTGGATCTCCCTCATACTCCTGACACTCGGATGCATGATGAAACAGATTGATTTTGGCAGTTTCTACAGCGATACTAATGATGATAGCGAATTGGCTGCAATACAACAGAATTCACTTAACCGAACCGCGGCTGATACGCCACACGGCAAGAACATGTCCGGCTTTGATTTTAGCCTGAGTGCCGTCTTCATTCTGGCGCAGACCATTTGCTCTTGTATGGCTGGCGTCTACAACGAGTATTTGTTGAAGGACAAGGGTGCCGATGTGAATATCTTCGTGCAGAATGTCTTTATGTACCTGGACTCGATTGTTTGCAATGCTGTCATTCTGCTGCTGCGTGGCGAACTGCTGGACGCCTTTAGTTCGCAAAATTTAAGCAGCATCATGCGTTTTAGTGTCCTGATCATCATTGTGAACAATGCGGCAATTGGCATTGTCACGAGTTTCTTTCTTAAGTACATGAACTCCATACTAAAGACCTTCGCCAGCGCTTTGGAGCTGCTCTTCACGGCGGTTTTGTGCTATTTCCTGTTCTCCATACCCATATACATGAACACCGCGCTGGCCATCGCGGTTGTCTCCTATGCCATCTATCTCTACACCCAGAGTCCAGTTGTTAATCTCGGCAAGGTGCGTCCGCTGGCCAACCTAAGCGATGCCACCGTTAAATCTACGGACAAACAAAAACTGCTGGACGAGGAGGCGCCAGAATCTGACCAGGACATAGTATAATGCTATCCTAGCTAGTCTTAGACTCAATCTGTAAGGCTGTAAATAGTTGTGGAAAAGTGCCTGCAAATGTTTTGAACGCCAGGCGAATGTGTTTGACCCCAGGCTTTGTGCAATGCGCGAGCAACAGGCTTGTAAATACCAAAACTTTTGCTTTTCTAGTTTAAGATTCTCAGCGTAAATATGTTTTAATCATAACATGATTGCAATCAAACGAAAAATGGGTTTACTTATGGCGCTTCTTCAAGAAGCTTTTTGTGGGTTATACACATTATACATAGTATATATAATTGGGGTATCTGGAATATCTTAGCTTAGAGTGGTGTGTTGGCATCGTTTCCATCCTCCTGGATGGGCGCAATGCGAGAAGTGAGGGCTATCTGGACAGCATGGTTATCTATGGTGCGGAGATAGTAGGGGCACTCCTTTAGGTGCTCCTCCATGTCGAGAACGCGGTGCGTGGCGTTATATTTACAGATCTTCAGTGGCGGTCCGCGGTAGTTCTTCTCACACTTGACGATGTGCTTGGGCATCCGGAACAGCATAATGCGGTGGGTTTTGTCGTACGGACAGATTCCAAACTCGTAGTACGACATTATGCAGACAATTTTTGAAAAATTTAGCTTTTATAAGAGAGGTGTGTATGTGTGAAAGTCCCGCTATATTTTAAACTTCCGACTAGAGGTCAGCGAGTTTTTGGCTATCGCTTATGTTATCGGTAACAGTGAAACCTCAAGGGAGAAACCAGTTTAGAAGCCCGAAATTCGATTTATTTTTGTAATATTTTTAACTAAGAAAAAATAATTTGAACCGGTTTAAACTTATTCCTATATTGAACTACACTTTTAAATTTGTGGATGCCATTTCCGCTGGAAGTGGTGTAGTTAGCGGCTAGAGTGCATATAAATAAATAAATAATATTCACGCACATTTTCAGATAGATTCGTAAATAAATATTCGAGTATTATATAGTATTTTTTCCTTGCAAGAGAATTATATATTAAGAAAAATGTTTCCATGTACGATGTTTTGATTCATATCGTTTTATGCATTTGCCTCTCAAGCCTTTTCGGAAATCACATGTGCTTCGATAATTCCATTAGTTAGCTGTTGTTTTATTAAAAGTTTAACCTATTTAACCAGTTCAGTTGTGTTTGAAATTCTGAAACGTTCTGAAATTTGTATTTTTCTGAGACAGCAATAAAGCAGGTGACCATATAGAATACCCTAATTGCGTTTTTACCACAAAACGGTCATACTCCGACAACCGCGCGTAAACCCTCCCGTCCCATCCCTCCCTTTTTGCCATTCATTCGACGTGAAAAATTCGTACAGTTCGGTCAATTGTCAACTCTTTGACAAGCCTAAATAATTTTGAGACCGTGTAACCAAGTTAACTATGGCGCGTACTAAGCAAACTGCCCGAAAATCGACCGGAGGCAAGGCGCCCCGCAAGCAATTGGCCACCAAAGCGGCCCGAAAATCTGCTCCGTCGACCGGAGGCGTCAAGAAGCCACATCGCTACCGTCCTGGAACGGTGGCTCTTCGTGAGATCCGCCGCTACCAGAAGTCCACGGAGCTCCTCATCCGGAAGCTGCCCTTCCAGCGCTTGGTGCGCGAGATTGCCCAGGATTTCAAGACCGATCTCCGTTTCCAGTCGGCGGCTATTGGAGCCCTACAGGTAGTGTAATCATTCTCGACTATTTCACCCGGTCATGTAATAATGGAACTCACTTCTCATACGCAATTTCCAGGAAGCCAGCGAGGCGTATCTGGTCGGTCTCTTCGAGGACACTAATCTGTGCGCCATTCATGCAAAGCGCGTCACCATTATGCCCAAGGACATCCAGCTGGCCAGGCGCATCCGAGGCGAGCGGGCCTAAATATACATATATAATTTATACCATATCCGCCATCTTGGATTGGAAAAACAGTGGCGGCAAAAACATCAACCCACAGCTGTCTTTTTTTGGAAAGCGAGAAATGGAGGTGGAGAGATCCTCAACATCAGCTGCCGCCGTTCAGTTCTTAAGTCTATCTATACTTACAGTTAAGTAATTAATACACAATCTAACCATGTTCAAATAAAATATATTATTTTTTTTGTAAAACCTTACTATAAAGAAATGTTTTAATTTTTGTTAGAAAACAAAAGCAAAATCTTGTATTGGCAATATACTAAAGCGTCCTAGACAATTTCGACGGATTAGGAATTAACCTATTTATCATTGGGAAATTTCTTAATAGTATTTCGGTAAATAATAGTTTTTAGTTGGCAGACTAATAAATCCCCTTAAAGAAATTAATCGTTTTGACACTACCCCGTAATATAAAATATCACTTAGGGATATATTGGGCAAAATTGTGATGGCTCTGGCTAAATTTTGAACCTTAATTAATCTGCCATCTGCCAATAAACGTCAAGCCGTTTTCAATCGTAGGTTCCAAAACTTTGTATTCGGCCCTCGGATGTTGTCCAGACATAGCCGATCCTTACACCATTATAAAACGACATTCACTTTGTGAAAAACTTTGCTCTAAACAAAAGCTGTTTTTATATTTTAATACGATTAGCTTAGTTGTTTGTGGGATGGGGGAAATTGTTTGAGGAGAGCAAATGCAAAAATTTACTTAAACACTATGGTGTCCAGCATGGCGCCCAGGCACTGGACAATATTGTTCTGCATGACTTTGTCCACCTTCTCTTCCAAATGCCGCTTGGGATCCTGTTTGCCCACGTTCTTGATTGCCAGCTGTTCGGGCGTCATTTTCTCCTCGTCCTCCAGAGACTGAAAAAAAGGGAAGAAAGAATTTTTGTTATACAGCGATTTTTAGGGAGCTTTAAGTAATAAATGTACATTCATAAGGAAACCCATAATTTACTATGATCATTAACTAAAATAAAAAAAACTGAATCACCACAAAAATGACATGACCCACCTTATTGTAGTTCTTGGCCAGGTCGAGCATCTCTGCCACGGTGTCCTCGTTGATGGAACAATGCTCGTTGTAGTCGGACAACGTGAGGCCGTCCTTCCAGGACTTTTTGTGCAGATTGAGGAGCATCTTCTGCTCCAGCTCGTTCTTGCGGTAGTTGATGCTGATTGAGTAGTAGTGGCGATTGAGCCCGTGGATCAGGGCCTGCACGGAAGGCTTCTGCAGGTGACCAAGGTTGGAAGTGGTCTGTCGCGGCTCCTGTCCCAGGACCAGCATATTGGGGTTGATCAGGCGGAAGGCATCGATCACCACCTTGCCCTTCACGGATTGAATAGGATCGACGACTACGGCGACTGCTCGTTCCGACAAAGCTTCGAAGGACTGCTGCGTGTTGATATCGACGCCGGACAACCAGCAGCCGAAACCAGGATGCGAGTGATACCAGCCGACCACCATTTCCGGTCGGCCCGTCTGCTTCAGCATGTCCAGCATCTTCGCCTGAAAAACAGGATCCACGGCCTCCACGGAGACACCAGTGCCCGTTTGGGGCATGGCGAACACATCGATGACCTGCACCGTATAGTCGTCCACGAACTCGCCCAGCATCAGACCCATCACCTCCATGGGCACGCCGGCCCTTCCGTGCTTAAGCATCTTGAGCAGGGCCAAGGACGAGATGTACACCTGCTCGGCGGTGTCCACGACGGGCGCATCTGTGGGCGGGGCGGCCTGTGGCATGGCGCCTCCAAGACGTAGCAGACGATCCATTTTATGCGACTATAGGATGACGAGGATCCAGATACCGAAATGAATTAGAAACAAGCAAAAGCAGCTGAAAGTTTACAGCGCTCACCTCTGGGGTTGTAGACACTCTGTGTTCAGTGGCAAATATCAGCTATTTCCTACAGATTTACGTGTAATTTTCGTCCCTCGTCGAAAGCAGCAACAAAAAACACAAAGCCGTCTCGTTTGATTTTGCAGAAGTGCAAGTAATACTCGCAACAGGGTTGTTTCGCAGGCCGGTTATCGAAAAGCTATCGAGAGAGATACCACTTTAGCTGGTTTTCCAACAAATCAAACTGGTTTTCTAGATATATTTTTGTACACAAGATAGGAGTATATATCTAAAATTATTCTGAATTTTTTCTTTTACAATTTTTTTATCTAGTATATATATATTTCGATTTTTAATAATCAAAAAACTATTGTTCTATATTTCATCACATCAGTAAAGTTATTTTAACTTATCTTTTTCATTTTATTTATAGTTCTGGCTAAATTAAAGAGCCAGTTTTGCAGGTTATTTATACACATTTATATACAAGTTTAAATTATTTTCTATTTCTATAAGTAATATTTAACTTTTAAATTGTAGTCCTTTAACATAAAAGCTCTTTTATATGATAAGTTACATAAAAAAAAGAGTTCTAAATGTTTTTATTTAATTCATTTAATTTGATTGTTTTTCTCAGTCTTTTATTTGCCCACACTGGTCATGTATTCTTATTATCGATACATATAAATATCGACAGCAAAATTGGCGGAAAATTCAAAGCTTTCCAAGAAGGAAAATATTTTCCGCAAACCAAATCGCTTGCAGGACGCCGAAATACTAACAGAAGTACATTCCATTGGTTTATTTGCAACAATAAGTGCGGCCTGCGGTTGCAAGTCGACTGATCCGAGGAAAACTAAGACTTTCCTCAAGACCGATCACCGCAAAATTTATAATGCATTTACAATACGTCCGCCCGTCAAATGCCATGGGAAATGAGGTCTTCTCTTCGCCGGCCAGACCGATACAATTTGGGCAAGTACAATGCATAGCCACCTTTTTTATTGTGCCAATTAATTGCACAAAAAACCTTTTGCCTTTTAAAAGCGGCTTTTTTTGCCTTTCACCTCGCTCTTGGAGATGGAGATTCCGCCAAGATTCCCACTCGCCAGAAAATTCATTTTAAATGCCATCAAAGGTGGGACACACCGGCGGCTTCAGCTAAAATTCAAAAATCCATCCGATTGCAACACTCGGACTACTCCATTTTCCGTCTCGCTTTGGTAATTGAACAATAGTTTTTCCATCTGCCAGCAGACTTTTCCATTCGCCGCTCGGCTTTTCAGCTTCAGTTGCATTTTGTCGCTCGCCTCCAGCACGCGCACCACAAAATAGTTGTTAAAGTTAAATATTTTTCGCTTGGTTAAACATTTTCCCGCTCTGTGTTCTACAAGTTTTTAAAGATATCTGCAATTATTTGCATACAAATTGCTTGTAAATAGTGCCGCAAGCGTAGCTAACTTCAGGTATTTAAATGAATTGGTTCATACTTCTAGCTGAAAGGTGGCGAATTTTAGCTGAGACCGACATATTTGTGTCGATTTGTTATTTTGTTGTTGGCCTCTTATCAACAAGCGAAACACAGCCACAAAATTTTTATTGTTGATAAGTGAGAGAGGCGAATTTGGAGAGCTTTTTTACAAGGGGGGAATATTCTATGGGTACACCAAAAAAAATGAAAAATAAAAAATATTTTATTTAAGTCAAATCATTACAAAAAACACAACAATAAAAAATGTAAGTACTTTAAAATATAATATTGTAGATGTCTTGGGTTTAGTTTTCCAACTTGCCCATTTTTTTATTTGTTTACCTTTGCAAATGGATATAAATTATAAAATAAGAAAATTTTTTTTTTTTTATTTTCATGTACTTTAACAGAAGAATTTTATTTAAAATTAAGTTATCCTGTCTTTATACTTTTAATTAACATACCATAATATCAGGGATATTGAACTCTTTAAACATTTGGTTCTGTGTACTAGTCACATTTAAACAGCTGCTTGATATTTACTTAGACCTAAAACAAAAGAAAAATGCTCCATTTCACCATTGATTAAATATTTTCACATCTGACTTAAGTATCTTAAACGCTATCATTGACCTTGTCAACGTTTAAATCAATCCCGTTCGAAGATATGCCATGAATGCACTCAATCTGGTTACAAAAAAACGTGGCAAAAAATATAAAGGCGATATTAAAGTGGAAAAAACTGGGAGGAAAACACGTTTGTTCAGCTGTGAAATTGACCTTTTATGGCCTAACTCAACCCAAAGCCTCCAAAACTAAACATTTTGTTGGAGCTGTTTGAGTTTAAAAGAAATGAGCGGAAATACTTTACAATGATAGTTGCTCTAATTGCTACCAAAAGTGGCAGGGGAACTTGAGGCAGAAAAGCAGATAATAAGGGTCAGATGAGTAAAACAATTATTTTGGTTTCAGTCATTTGTTATTCTTCTATAGGGGAAATGTTTTGGGGGGTCTTACCAAAGAGCTAAGAAAGTGATACAAAAGATTTTAGCCTACAATTTAAACAACAATTTAAAATAAATACTAAATACAAAAAAAATAAATTTATCTTACTACTAATAAACTTAAATTAATTTAGAAAAGTAAACATATAAAAATATCTTTGTATAAGCCATTATAACATTTTTTAATGCAAGAAAATCTTTAAATTTAACAATTTAATTCCCATCGATGTGCTCAACCAAACCTTACCAAAGTTGCCATCGCTGATATCACATTGAATTGCTGATACGAACAGCAAATATTTCAACAGAATCGCTTTTTAGTCTTTCCAAAGTGTCAAATATATGTGTGCAGGTGTTTAAGCTCATCTAACCCAAAGACCTTTAAGCTCGGGTTGACTTTTATAACTAGAACAACCAGATCCGCCGACACCGCAGCAGCAACCGCAAACGAAAAAGATCTCAAAAATAAATTTCGTAATTATCTGAGGGAAAAAAGATTAAAAAACTGAGAGTTGCATGTCTGGGAAACTGCTTTAATTTCACTTTTCATTTTGGATTTGCACAGCAAATCAGTGCAAGCATTGGCGAGCGGGAAGGAGTACAATAGTAATTAATGGGCTGAAGAAAGTTTTAATTACCCCACGAGCGTTTAAGATAATAAAGTCGTTTATCTGAGGCATTCAATTATAAAATTGCTTACATTTTGAAAGTGCAACCAATGATTAAAAATTGATTTCAGCTCAATTTGCATTCAGTTCATTTTCTTTAGCATATTTTTGCATTTAACTTTCCGATTGAGCTGGAAAAAACATAAGTATATTTTAATTAATCACATTAATATATGAACAATTATTAACTTTATATGTATATATTGTAATTTAAATGTGAACTGTTTTAGGAATTTTCTAAATTAGTCAAATAATAACACAATATAAATGTTGGCTTGTTTTTTTGATAAAAATTTAAATTTCTAATTTCGGTATTGTTTTTCTCTGTGCAGAGATGATGACGTCGCTGCAGCTGGAGACGTCATTGCCGGCGGTGGAGGAGCAAGTGAACCAGGAGCAGAAGAAGAACAATGAGCTCGTGGAGGATACGCACACCGCTTCCACAACGCCCACTCGCATTCCACATCCTGCTGTGGCCAACTTCCGGCGTTCCGCTTCCCTGCGCCTGCGCGGGAACCCATCGGAGCTTGGTTTACGGGCTGAGCACTGTCCAGCCGGCGGAGGCGGATTCAGTTCGCGCGCCAAGCTCACGGCGATCCCAGCCAGTCTCAAATCGCGCTCGCACCCGGTCCACTTGAGGCGTAACCGCAGCTGGAGCAATTTAGGCCACAAAACGGAGCAGGAACCGGACGTGGAAGTGGAGCCTTCGACGGAGGCGGACTCGGGCCATGGACTATGCACCGCCACCCAGTGTCTGTCCCTGGCTGAGGAGGTGGATGCCCCGCAAGTGGCCAACAACATGGCCAACGGCAAGCCCCGCAATCTGGTGAGTTGTAGGTGGTGTTTTGTATTGATTTTAACCTACCGCTGCTGACCTATGTAACTGGTAGTCGACGTCGCCTAGAGGGTAAAAGGTTGCGACGGGGGTGTTGGACATAACACGCACTTGTAGTTGAAAGTACAGGGCATATTACGAAACTATCTGGGGAACGGTCGAGGCATTTTCTGGGAATTCAGGAGCGGTCCTAATACACTCCCCTCTATGAGGTCTAAATATGTATGCTTACCTCATAGATACGGTATTCTTATCGTTGAAAAACGTCTTTGAAATACCCACCCTCCTCAAAATTTTCAATTTAAATTTTATAAACTTAAATAAACTATAACTAAAATATGCAACGAATTTAAACCTTATTGAAAGTTTAGAAGATTTAAAAACCGACCAGAGGAATGACGGCAATGTTTTTGTTTGGTTTATTTATACGTTTGGTAAATATTTATTAGAGAGATAGTTTCTTTAAAAATCTTGGCTATAATGAGTTGATTGAAACTACTAGCCCTTTTCCATTGAAATCTTCATAATATTGAATATGAATATGTATCCGAAACTGATGTTCAAAAATGTAAAATCTGTATTATTATTAGTGATACACTTCAAAAGTTCGTTCGAGGATTCTCGAATTTGAGTTTGTAATCATAGTCTTACAACATCATCATTTCCTTTAACTATTTTTGCATATCTTTTAATATCTTTGGTAAAAATATTGGTCTTATGGAATTCAGTTTCCTGGAAAGTTATAATTGATTTTGTAGCTGGGGAATGACACTTTGTCACTTGCATTTTTGCCGCTGCCGTGATGACACGCAGCTTACAGTTTGTACTCTTCCCGCCAACAGCGATCATTAAACCAGATATACTATATTTATACTGCACAAAGGGAACAAAAAATAAACCCAAAGCTGAGTTTGCATAATGCTTGGCCAGAAAGAAAGGGGAAAAGAGTAGAAAGAAGAAAGGTGAAGACAAACACAGCTCACACACCGCTCACCTTCGAAGCCCCCTTTTCACCTTTTTCTTTAACACCCCTCCCCTGTTTTTTTAGCAGCTGTTTCGTTTCCACTTCCGCTTGTTCCGTTTGCCAAATTGTACCTAGGAAACAGCTGATTTTCGGTTTGTTTGTGTTTTTCTTGTGATTCGCGGGGGTTGAGAGAACAGGAAATGCAAGTGCGCAGCTTTTTATGTGACCCCCCTCCCCCGGGGCTCTCACAGCCCCTGTTTTCACCACCTTTTTGGTATCTTCTTCGTCTTTTCACTCTCTTCGCTTCTTGGCCAAGTGATTTGCGTTTCAGTTGATTTTTTATACTCACCGCGTGCACAAGATTCGCGGCTCGGCTCTCTGATATTGTTTTTAAGTTTAAACCTTCAGGCTTAAACAATTGAAGCGTGCATTTTGCCTTTATTTCTCGGTTTTTGTTCGCTTTTTGAAAAGTACCCAGTACCTAGACTAACTACAGTGCGAACGCTTTTAATTGAAGACAACAACTTGGGGCCATGGCTCATAAATGGTAATTGCTCGCCTTGGGCTCTACTATACACCTAAATGTATTTAAAGCCATCATTAAAAGTGGAAGTTCGTTGGCCCTTTTACATTATTTATTCATAATTGCTATTGATTTTAAGGCTCAGCGTTCTAATTATGTCGGAAACGTTCAAGTGAAACTGTGTGGTTTTTGGGGGTAGAAAGGAAGTGGCACGTGTGAATACATAATTATGTACACATATTTCCTATAGTAAAATGCATTTTATATATTGGCAGGACCCCATTCTTTAGTTTGATTGATATAAAGATCTCCAAATAATGTGCAAACAATATGGTTTAAAGCTCCCTTTTTAAAAAACTATAAGGAGCTTTTTAAAACAAGTCTGTATAATACAATTTAACTTATTTTATAAAAGGCATTTGAGCTTTCGAAAAAGTTTGTGTCAAGAAATTACAGTAATTAGGGATGATTTATACAGTTTATAAAAATACAGTCCAGTTGAGCCACTGTCTGTCATTAAAAGTTTGCAGTACTTGGAATTTTGAATATATCAAGAAAAGTAAGTAGTAAGTAGTAGTCAAAAACAAAATGACAATTTAACTAAGTCCTTGAATTAATATGTGTTAAAGAATACAAACATTCAATATTGGTTTCAACAGTTTCAAAATCAAAGAACATTTTTAAAATCCATTACCAATCCATTGTATTTCTGTCCTTGTCGACCCTGAAAAGTATGCAATAGTTGCAATGTCCTTTTGAATTTTAGCCAACAACATGGCCAAAACAAACATACTCACAGCAGCGAAAAGTGATTGCCAACACGTGACCAGAACAGTGGGGCTTTGGCCAAGAGCCAACTGGGCTGAATTGGCCATTACGTGAGTTCGGTCTGCTGTTTTCACCTGCATTGTGTCTGCCCATCTCTTCTGCTTGGAATCAAAGTCATTGATTTTTCTTAGTCAGCAGCTTAATTGATGGCACCTGAGCGCCGTATAAGCCAAGTTAGATGCTTGGAACGTGACTGTTTGATGGCTTTAAGACGGCTCAAGTGCGTAATGTAAGCGCTTCTGGCTGGAGGTTAGTTATTACGTGGCAAAGTGTGTTGGCCCGGTTAACTAGCTCGACTCCTCCCCCTCCTTACCGCATTTCCCTTCCCAAGTCAGGTTTTTAGCCATTGTTTAGCCGTCCGTAAACAGTTTCTTTTTGCCTGCCATTCCAGAAATGCCGTGAAATATTCCCCAGAACTTGGGCAATTAAATAGAGCAAGAAACTCATTACAGATTATGAAATGAACATGTATACGTAGGCTTGTAAAGAATGGAGAGAATGCAAGAGGCAGTCAAACAGATTTGTCCAGATACTATGGCCCATTCCGTTTTCCATTCAAACAAATCGCGCTGACAACGGATCGTTGGCAGTCAACCAATTGATGAGTTGGTCAGCGTGGCAGAAAAAAGGGGTAACAAGTGGGGCAGTGGTTCCTAAATCACTTCACATCGGGGACAACAAAAGAATCGATGCAGTGCCAGTCAATGAACTATTTGCTTTAGTTACATTTCCATGGACTGGGTTAAGTAAACTAAGTTAAATATGATTGGTAATTAACTGATAAGAAGTTAGTTTACGGAATCAGGAATATCTACAAAGCATTAGCCTTACCTTTTATAAATTAATTACAATTTTCTGGGTATATCAAGTTGAAACACAGATGTAAAATATGGAGAATATGGTTTTTTGTAGGCATATAGGGATCAAGCTTTATTTGCGTTCTCCATCACAATTAATCTGGTTTGTTGTTCAAATTTTTTTTGGGTATACAATGTATACTAGTGGCTCAATGGCAAGTGAATATTTAAGAGTTCTTCGTTTTTTTACCAAGTGTTGGAAATATAACTTTGATGATTCGAAAACAAAGGACGAATTTGTCTTTACTAACAGCTGAGTACATTTTTCAGTTACATATTATAGCTATTAGATATTATAGATATTATGGGAGTTATTTCTTAAGAATTCTAGCCAATAGCAATTCTAGCTAATAGATCTTGTAGAGAAAATGTATAAAATGATTTGCTCTAGTTTCAAACTCCAGTGTTTATTTTCCGCCAAGTAAATCGGAGAAATTTTTGCATAATTTGCCGAGGCTTATGATTTAATTGACTCAGCTGCGATTTAAGTCAGTCGGTGAGACTGACTTGGGCCCAGCGGCTAACTGGCTAACTGGCTAAATGCGAAATGCTAAATGCCCCCCTTAGACCCAAACTAATGAGCAGCTAATTGACCACAAAAATGCTGCAGAATCGGAGGAGCCAAAAAGGGAGGGGATTTTAGAGAGCACCGCAATGAAAGTAACCAAAGCGAATGCGAATACAAACCGACAATGTTTTGTTAAATGTATGGCAACAAATTGCTTTTAGGGGCGTTGCAAATGCGAATTGGTTTACCCTGCATTTCACGCGGCTATTTCTTGTTTTTTATTGCGAAAAAAAACTCACAAAAATCCATGCACGACTAAGCAGCGACCACGCAACAAAATTAGAAAATAGTTAAAGAGTGAAACAAGAGTGTAAAAATAGGCAAAGATTAAGCGATCGAGGGGCAGCCACCACAACGGCGAGAGATAGTTGCTAATCCCAGTCTCCGATCTTCCATCTTCCATCTCCAATCTTGCAGTCTCTCAAGTTGAACGGCGGCAGTGACATCAGCAGCAGTGGCACCTCCACGGCCAGCATCAAGGAGTCGACGTCTCCCAGGACTCCCAGGACGCCCCAGACGCCGTCAACGGGAGGAGCAGCAGCATCCGCAGCAGAGGCGCCACCACAACACACCTGCATCCGCCAGGGCAACTGCGTGAAGGCCACGGGGAAACTGTCCACCCTGCACGAATCCAAGGTTTCGCCAAGGACTCCGCCCGTCACTCCCGATTCGCCCAGCACTTATCTGGACGATGATCTAGACTCGATGTACTCGTTCGCCACCACCACCTCGGGACGCTCCACGATGTCCTGCGAGCACCCCTATGTGGCCAGGTAGGGGGTACCTCCATTCCGTCAATTGACCATCTAGGATTTTAATTAAATTCTATTAGTATTCATGTCAACGATTCGAGTTGAAGGAATTAATGAAGAAAAGTTGCTGTCTTCAAAGGTGCTCAGTTGGGAATGCCCTAATGAAAAGGCAACAAGATTATTTTGGAATCGATTCTTAACCAAATTTAATTAACATACTTTATTATTTTCAAAGAATCAATTACATTCAAACCCAACAACCTAACAATTGGTATTAAAAGTATCTTTTAAAGGCGACTACATATTTTAAATTACATTTTAATTTTATGGACACATAAAAAATACAAAAATAGAGAAATTAAATGCTTAAAGTTCTCCATATTACAATCATGACCTTCCTCTTGCAGAAACGGCACCACGTTCAGTGGTCGCAAGATGAAGTACGTGGTGCACTGCTCCAACTACGCGGGTCAGGTGGGAGCCGACTATCTGACGCCCACGCAGCGGGCACAGCGCCAGATCCGGCGGCTCAAGGAGCTGCTGTGCATCGCCCGCCAGGACCTCGAGCAGAAGGATACGGAAATACTGCGGTTGACCCGCGAGGTGGTGGAACTGCGCCTGTTCAAGGCATCGCTGAGTTCGCCGGAGGAGCGATCCGCCTCATCCGATGCGGTTACGGTGCGCGAGGCGGAGCTGAAGACCTCGCAGGATGTGTCGCCCATCGTGGACATGGTGGACGAGGGCAATGCCAAGGGCAGTCCGCGGCATCTTTGCCGCCAGCAGCAGACGATCAACTCCCTGCAGCACCAGCAACTGCAGGCCATGCAGATGTCGGCGGAGATGCAGAGTTCCTATGCGGACTCCGGCCACTTCGAGGACCTGACCATGTCGTCGGTGCACTCGAAGGACTCGCAAACGCAGAGCGAAGCCTGCGGCACGGCCACGCCCGATGGCGAGCCGGATGCGGCCTGCGGCAGTGGGGATGCGGCCAGCAATCTGGAGAACTATGAGCTGCAGCGACAGGAACTGATACGCATGTACGAGCATCGGATCGAGGAGCTCATCCGAAGTCAGGACAGTGCCACCAGCGATCTGAAGCGATCGCACAACGACAAGGTGGAGGCGCTGCTCCAGAAGCTGGCCGAGTGCAACACCCGCTACTCGGACATGGTGCCCGACTACGAGCAGGCCAAGCAACGCATCCGGGAGCTGGAGAAGCAGCTGGAGGACCTGCAGCGCAAGCTGATAGAGCACGAGGAGAAGCAGAACAAGATGTACCTGCACATGTACCAGCAGGGACAGGAGGCGGAGCGCATTTCTAGAGCGGATCAGGTAGGGGTTTGATTCAATTCCGAGTAATTCACTTTGGGCTTGAAAAAAAGGTATAGGTTAAGTCACCTTCATTGAAAGATGGATTAAATGAAATGGGTATAATTTAAAGAAAACCTTTACTGAAATATTATTTAGTTGTATTATAGCTATGATTTTATTTATGAAACAACCCATTTATACCTTAACCTATTACCCTTTTAGGCCCTGGATTTGGCCCAGCGTCAGCCGGAAAGCAAGGTGTCGATCAACGAGCTGCTGCACCAGCTGCAGAGCACCCAGGACGAATTGGAGAACATACGCGTAAGATTCTTCAATATATTCCTCATCCTATTTTCGGTTTTGTTTTGTGTGTTGCATTTTGTTGCATCGTGAGGCATATCAGCATCTCGACACCGTCACAAGAACAACAAGAACACAACTCGACAAGAACATGAACAACACGCATTCGCTTCAAACTACATATATATATATATTTGCTTGTGGGCGTGGCACTTCAATTGGGCTGACTTTGCCTGGCTGGAAAAGCGGCACTTAATTGAAATGCCCGCCAATAATCAGTTATTGACAATGATCGACACAAGCGACATTTACGTTTTATTTCGTTTCTAGCTGTTAAGATCATTTTGCATAATTATTTTCTAGCAAGATTACAACAACACATTCAAACTTACATTAAATGCAACAACGTTTACTTTCAATTCGTTTGATTTGTTTCATTTCCATTCCGTTGCGAGTTCGAGTAGTCTAAGTACAGTCACGTAGTGCAGAGTGTGGCGAGCAAGCAAGTGCATGTTCATATTTCAATTCCGAACCGTTCCAATCGCATGCTGGATATTTAGCTCTCTTTCTCTGTATTCCTCTTTTGGTTAACTGTATATTTTAATTTAATTTACCGATAAAAGCAAAAACTCTTTCTAAATTTCAAATATTTCTGTCGTAAAACAACCAAAAACCAAACTATTTTTGTAGGCATCTGAGTGCAGAATGAGAGAGTGCGGCAGTAATAATGCTCTCCTTACTGCAAAAGAGGCGATTTCTTTGTGGGTACTTGGCGCGCGTAAGGTTTGTAATATCCCTAACAAAATTCCCCAAAAATAACTCTACCCAACTAACTTTTGATTTTTTATGGCAAAAAAAAAAGTAACTGAAAAGAAGATAAAAAAAAGTATTTTTCGTTGCATTTATGATTTGATCACGCACATTGGCTATATCGAACATTGGGTCTTACCATCCAGAAATCCCACACCTCACCTCACCCCTCGAGACTAACCAACCAGCATTTTCATCTGCATTCGCGCTCATGGGCCAGGGTAAGGTTTTTGGGTTCCAAACGAAACTATAACTTCGAGATTCTTTGAACATTTTAATAATCACCACATAAGAGTATGTATTGTTTTGTAAGTACTTGTTATTTCCAAACAATAATGTTTTGTAGAGGTAACAACTAGAGGTATGTTCAACATCGTTCCACACTTGACACAACCGGCTAGATGAGCTCTCGATTCGAGGGTCGAGAGTACCAGTACCAGACACACAAAAAGCTAATCTCTATCTAAGATCCATTTAGCATGTGGTTCATCTCAAGTTAACTTCCAATTAAAGCCCAATAAAAACCATAACCGTTCCCAAAATTATTCAGTGTTACATACATAACATTATAACCTAAATGTTCATATGGCATAGCACTATCAAGATTAAAGCGAACCTTTTGTAAATACATTTGATTTCGACGACTAACCACACTTTCGATTATCAGTTTGAATTTAATATTCTGACTAATCTTCTCTACTTCTTCTTGCACTTTTTCTCTCTTTCCACCAACTAACCTGCTTAATGTAAAAATGTATAAAATAACAAAACCAATTTAGACAATTTATCGGCGCTTGCTGGAGGCCCAGAAGAATCGCACCCATGTGGATCCGGAGGTGACGCTGCAATTCCTGAAGAGCGCTATCTTCTACTTCCTGACGGATAAGGAGAATTCCCAGGGCCATCTTCAGGCCATCGAGAGTATCCTGGAGTTCACCGATGCGGAGAAGCAGAAGATTAGCGCCGCCACCCGAACGCCAAAGTGAGGTCCCCGATCATCGTTTACCATTGCGTATACTTATTATTAACACTTAGATTGCACGCAAAAGTCAGCAAAACGATGTCCAAGATTTTGGTTCATGCTAAATTCCATTGTTTTCATTATTGGTCTTAAAGTTAGCTGGCGAATATTATTTGCAATTTTATTTGGTTTCCGGAATAATTTTGTTAAATTATGGAGGCGCCTATTGTTTATCTCTTTGACAACGATATGTATAAATTTTCCTATAAGTTAATTTCGAATAACGTATTTTTTCGTTTTAAGGCTTAAGGCATACTAGTACGTCCTTTCTAAGAATACGAAAATATTAAGAGAAATACAATTTTACAAAGTCTACGTAGTTTTTGTAGATCTAGCTAACCAAAAGAGAATAACACCATAAAGTTTTGGTCGTTTCAGTGGAGTTTTAATGCAAATAAATGAAAAAGAAATCATAAATTGTGTGTTGTTTATTTTGAGCGGTATCTTATTCTCCGTTTGTGTATTCAAAGGGAACTTTTTGAAATACAAATGGTTTTTTATTTTAATTTAAGAAGTTTCTGTTTGAATTAAAATAATGAATATTAGCTTTTGTTTTCCAATTATTAAATCTATAATAACATATTTGCTTTTTCTATAAATGTTTAAAGGTTTTTTGTTTAAGTTAAAAATGAAGATTAAATGAATTTAAAAAAAAAGCCAAAAGATAGCCAAATATAATCGTAGGTTTAAAAATTAGCCAATCATTATGAGATGAAATCTGATTGGCAACACTGGTTCGAGTACTAACTAATGTACATTCAGGTTTTCCACCTTGTGGCGTTTACTCTTTATGGTATTATTGCGATACCGCACGGCGGTCACACTTTTCCCTCTTTTCGATTTTTCGTTTCCGGCGAGTAAGTGTACAAAATTTTTGCTCCACGTTTTTTATTATTAATTTATCTTTAATTCCTTTTCACGTGCACAGAATACTGCTGGCGACCCTTTCCTGTGTTTAACACATCGACAACAACAGCAAAATGGTACGAGTCCCTTGTGATCCAGCCTGAAATGGGAGCTAACCACATTCTTAACCCTCTATTATTGACAGGCCAAGCGCACCAAGAAGGTTGGAATCGTTGGTAAATATGGTACCCGTTATGGTGCCTCCCTGCGTAAGATGGTCAAGAAGATGGAAATCACGCAGCACAGCAAGTACACTTGCTCCTTCTGCGGCAAGGTGAGTTGGTCCGGAGATCCGCATTAGGGTGCCTCGATTCGGGTGGCCATAAAAAAAGTGAAGAATCGTGGCGGGAATTTTATTAATGGAATCGCCTAAGAATGCAATCTACCTATCAAATCGGTATATCTGTGGTAATGCTTATTTTGCACCCACATATTTAATGAATTAATATTTCTTTGCGGTTGTCCATTTATTAAATTCCTTCTCACTCCGTTTTTGGGCACTCAAATTGACGCACCTACATACATCTCTCCCTCGTCGAGGGAACTCCCACTTAATGGCCTTACTAACTGACTTTTCCCCAGGACTCCATGAAGCGTGCCGTCGTGGGCATCTGGTCCTGCAAGCGATGCAAGCGCACCGTAGCCGGTGGCGCCTGGGTGTACTCCACCACCGCCGCCGCATCCGTGCGATCCGCTGTCCGTCGTCTGCGCGAAACCAAGGAACAGTAAACATTAACGAGTAATCAATGGAAACATCTAATCCAATGCTCCGCTATGATAGTTCCCGTAGTTTTAATCTGACAACGCGATTTTCCTGTGGTTTGCGCCGTGCCGGACATGTGAAAATAAAAAATCCTTTTTACTTTTATCAGTAAGCCAAAGTGATGTTTATTTACGTATGGAAAAGGTAAACAGTTGGCAGTGTTATGACTCCGCTAAAAAATGTAAATACTCGATCTTAAGATTAAACGACTTAGCGCGGGTTAAGCTAGTTGCAAAGGAAGCAAAAGCAGTGAAGCTCAATTATCCTATAAATTTGAATGTTTGGATAACTATTCCCTTCATCATGATGCAGATTAAAGAAGTGCGATTAAGTGCTTGTTTCCTGCCATTTTAAACAGCATTGACTATAAGATCCCCCAAATTTTAGTTTCCCGAAATATCACTACTGATTGTAAAATTATTTGCTCTTCAAATTCATCACGTCTTAATTTCGCCCCGATTTCTAGGGCGCATCTAAAATTTTATATTTATTGTGATGTTGTTCAAAGCTCACAACCTCTGATTTAGTTTTTATGCTCACGTTAGGGGAGGTAATTGAGAGAAAAAATCTGACATTTCTGCGGTTCTTACACCGATAAAACTGATTGTTTCCATTTCAACTAAGCAATTATTTGGCGGAACGCTGCCAGAAAGAGATAGTAATGGTGATGGTAGCATACGGAGAGGAGGACCAAAGCTAGGCAAAGTCAAGAGTTTTCACTCCTAATTCTTTCATCACTATAGGATCGAATATGGGAGGCAAGCTGATCTCGATTTCGGCCATACTTTTCCATTTACAATAGAAGACCATTATAATGATATAGATGATCAAGAAGCCCAAGTAGAAACTCAATCGAGGGACATAAGTGTTTTCGGGAAACCCTGGTCCGATCCACTGAACTCCTCCGCCGGAGTTGTCATTGTATCGCGCTCCCACTCCCTTATTTAATTGAGCCATAGACTCGTCCCACTGGAACTCAAGCTGTGATTTTTCCAGCATGTGAAAATTCACTGGATTGTGGTCGTCACAGAGTTGGGAGTTGTTTCTTAAGGCAGTGCACCAGTAGACAGTGTAGCCGAGCAGCTCCTTTTCGTCTTGTGGTGCTTTCCAGGACATTTTGTTGGTTTTGTGGTGGTAGCTCAGGTTCTGCGGACGACGACGAGTAGAGTTCATCAAAATCGGCACCTGTAAGACAGAGCTTTTAGTCGAGCGACCCCAGGAGCTCTGCCTCCTAATGTGAACAGTGGCCGCCTTCGTGGGATCCCAATCGTAGAAAATCGCAGTGTTGTAGCCAACAATCAGAGCATTTTTTCTGTAAGTCCAAGGGTAAATAAAGCAACCAAATTTAATATGAAACTTAACCATATACCCCACATCCGCGTGCACGCTGTGTGCCAAGTTTGACCCGCTGAACTGCAGTTCGCCCTGCTGCTGCCAGAAAATTTGAAGCTTTCCTTCCATCGGGTCGTGGTAGAAACCGTTGGACAGTACCTCCGGCGGGTCATCGGTCACTTTGGCCTTCCTCAGGATCTTGAGAGTGAAATGACCAGTCGCCCATGGCGAATTGCAACTGAAGTGCACAACACCGTCCTCTGCGGGTTGGTTCTCTCTGTAGCCGATGGTAAACTCGCCGAATGGCTCCGTTTCCAACGTACGATCCTCCAGCCTAAGTTGCAAATGTCTATTGGAGTCATTGCATGAACAGAACACAATAAACGTGTCTCCACCATGGACATCTTTTGGAATGGTATATATAGATGGAATATTTAATGCACAACAACCGGACACCAAAGTCACTAGAATACACGTCCGCCAGATCATGTTGAACGAAAGTAATTGTTTTGCGTATATAAATCTTCCTCGTTTTAGTGCTTCTTATCATCACTTAATTTTAATTTAATCGGTACCGGAAGTAAATAGACCATTAATTTCAAAGTCAAAATTTTAGGCAAAGTACAATTAGAGATTGCTATGCCGCCCGAATAAATCAATGTTTCCTTTAGATTTTCTTTTAATTTTGTCATCTTTTTTATTTATAAAATTTAAAAAGTCTCTAAACAAACAAAAATAATAATTAAATGAAAAATTCATTAAAAAAATGTTGGCTTACAAAGTTTCATGTTATCATTCTATTATTTGTGTTTTGAGAGATGTTACAATTGAGAAACGGGAAACCTATATTTAGCTAAATATATAAATCAACAATTTAAATCGGATAGGCAGCTATAATGTTATATTGTAGGCCATATATAGCAGTTACACAACATACATAAACACTAGTTATAGGATTGTTTTGGGGAAAGGGTCTTGGCCTGCCTGTGTTTGTTGCTTGATTGGATTCGTTTTCCTGTTTTTGCTATTTTAAATGTTAATTAAAAATTGCACCGTCACCAGTTAAAAATAGTTGCTATTTTCCATATGTATATATCGTTTCTCTATAACTATGGGTTCTCGTTATCATCGTTTTTAAAAATAAATTTAGCTAAAAAGTTTTACTTGGCCTGTGTCTCTGTGTCATATCAGTTTGCTGCTGTCAGGGGTCTGTGGAATTTCGTTCATAGTCAGGTTATGCTTCATTCTTTTGATTGAAATTCATTTCGAAATATTTACACAATAGCTGAGAGAGTAAGTTTTTCGATTTTGAGCAATATTTTGTCGAGAGCTATTGTTGATGTTATGCAAAACTTTGACTAAATCTAAATTTAATTTAGAACTTAACGTTTAACCTAGAACTAAATGCAATTTATAGTACAGTTTTGCTTGCTTTGCATATATGTGTATATCATATAGGTACTACATAAATATTTTATTTAAATGTATATTTTTAATAGCTACATTAATCGTATGTACATTGTTTTTTTTATTTCTTTTTTGAATGTAGTTTATAAATATTTTTACACTGTATTTATGATATGCGTGCAATTTTTACTTTTTTTATTTTTTCCATTGTATAATGATTATGGTTTAGAAGCATTTTCGTGTAGTTTCCTTTTGTGATATGAAGAGCGCGTTATTTTGGTACAAAGCAACAGATTCTCAGATATTTTTATAGCCTAAAGTTTGGGGGGTGCGCGAAAGGAACAACCCATAAAAGTGACTTAAAGTTTAAATACGGAAACAAGAGCGAACCGTTGAATTTCTCAACTACAATTCTAGCTAGGAATGTCGTGTGCTTGGGGCTTCCGGTGAGGAGAGATAAGAACCTTCTTCATCATTGTAGTATTTAAGCTATATTATGGTTTGCTATGACACACTTGTGGCAATTACTTGGCCTGCATTTGCTTGGGTTCAATTTATATACTTTTTAAATTATATTCTGCGAAGCACAAAACGTCAGTTAAATGCCAATTTATTGGTACTTGGTCGAAGCTAATGTAAATATACATTACAATTACATATACCTAGATAAATCGTAGAACTGCCTGCCTGCCTATATAAACACAAATACATGCATATCATGTAAACAGATAAATCTAAATTTTAGTACTGACTCTCACGCACTCACACACGCGCATCAAGATTTTGGGAAGACATCCTGCCGCCGAAGGAATTCTCCGGCCGCAAACACATTCACGCACACAGAGAGAGATATTTGCATGGAGAGAACTTAGATCCGAACGAACTTAGGCTACGTAATCGTCAAAAATAAGAGCCAGCAAGGATTAAACATAAATTGGAAGTTCTCAGTATAGTTAGTAGGATCCGTTGAGTTTAGTTGTTGTCGGGTGTCCTTGTGACATCCAGCTAGTGAGCCTGCCACTTGAACTTGGACTCCATCAGCCACTGTTGCCCCTTTCCGTAGCTGCAGGGACGCAGCAGCGGCGTGTTGGCATCGTCCCGCGTCGCGCGCTGTAAGCACTGACCCGTATTCGTGTGGCGTATCCACTTCTCCTGTAAAGTAATTTAATGGTTCAAAATCATATTCAGGCTTCAAGGCTTTCACTGGTTTTGTACTCACCTCCGCATCGTAGACCCACTCCTGATTGCCGCCCATGTTGTGGCATCGCACCATGTTGACGGGGCCATTGGAGCTGGATGCGTCCAGGCACAGATCGTCGGACATGATCTGCTGGCGCTTGGTGTAGGCGAACACCTGGTTTCCACCCAGGCCGTGGCAATAGCTGATGCCCACCTTCTCGTTGTACTTCCTGCCCATCGTGTCCAGGCAGGTTTCCGTTTCCGCATTGCGGATCTGTTGGTGCAACAAACATGAGTTAAAGGTAACCCCATTTCAAATAAAGTTTTCAACTCACCTCTCCAAGATAGTAGTAATCCAGGGGCATTAAGCTCTCGGGATAAACGTTCTCCAAATACCAGCGGAAACTCTTGCACTTGAGGCGATCACGCAGAGCTTTGCGATCGCTTACATCGCCAGCCGAAGCTTTGCGAGCTCCTAAAGTTATTTGGCGAATCGAAATAAATAGTAAACAAAATAATACATAGGTTAATAGGACATTCGGAAATATCAACTTAAAACATCTATGCTGGCGAGTGTTTTGTGTATTAAATTCTAGGTGTATGTGTTTGTTAGAAAGGCAAGTTAAAAATGCTTTGGTGATCAAATATAATTACAAAAAAACGGGTGCGTCTATTTAGTTGTAACATCAAAAGCATGCAAATACCGAAACACGAATGCAGCCCAACAGTTACAAGCGTAAATTGCATTAATTGTAAAAGCAGTGCCAATTATGTTATTTTACAAGAGACATAAAAACACATATTATGGAATACGCAGTTTGGTGTTTTAATAAATAAAAGCTAAAACAAAAATCCATTACCAATTTAAAACATTAGCTTTGAGATTCATTAGTTGCCGTTAGCTATAAAATATAAGTACTGGGACATAACAAATAAGTTTTTGATAGCCACTCCCACTAAATTTAAATATCTTTAAACCTTCTCGTGATTTTTCCTCTCCAAAATTATAAATTATTTTGGGGGTGGTGGAAAATGGGCACGCAATAGGGGACAAAGACAAAAGGCATTAGGTGTGTTTTTATAGGGGGTGGTTAAAAAACAAGACCAGAACGGAACTGAAAAATGGCACAAAAACAACACAGAGAGAAATAAATGGGAATCGGGAACCAATAAAACAAAAAACTTTTTGCAAATCAAAGATAAAAGGTGAAGAAAGAAAAGTATTTCGTGGTTGGATTCAATTGATTGATCGGTGGGTTGCTATATTTTTTTTTTTATTGTGGATTGGATTTTTGGTCACGGCCATGCCATAAATCATAAATATTGATATAAATATTTATTATGTGTGTATATAGACATTGCATAATGCAGGGCGTGCTGCTTGCTCGGGATAAATATTTTAGTTATGTATGCAGAGATATATACGGAACAAAACACTATTTAAGAGACAGACAATAGAAATTAGAGAGTGGAGAAAGAACGTGAGAATGAGAGAGAAAGTGGAGGAGCATTCTGTTGTTTGTTTTGTTGGTTTTGGTATTTTAATTTTTTGATTTTTTGTTTGTTTGTAGTTTGTTAACCTGGATAAAAACTGTAGTAGAACTCTTTCCAGTCGTCCAGCCAAACCTCGACCAGACGAGCATTATTGTGATTGACAATCTCCGTGGTGCCGCCGGGGAAGGTGTAAGGCGTAGATTTGCGAAACACGTGACCCACGCGGGAGCAGGGCGCGATCTCGAGCACGCCCCCGCACATCCACACCTGGATTCGCGCGGTTTCAGATTGGTTTTTGCATAATTCGTATCGCGTTTTCATTGGGGAGTTATGTGTGTGGTTGTTATTTTGACAATCGAGCAGTACAATCGAGCATTTGGTGGTCAAGGAGTGGACGAGAAAGATATACACAAATATATATAATATATAGAAAGCTGTTGTTATAGAGCAGTTTTGGCCAAGCCTAGCTTGCTGTCCTTCCACAGCCCTAAAACCAGCAATATCTAAACGAGTTGGGACCAACAGGGGACGTGGCTTTTAATTTAAGCAATATCCAGATGAGAAAAAGCGGCCCCTAAAAGTCGATATTTATTTGAGGGATTGTAAGCACTTTGTATGAGGGAAAGTAATTTCTTTTTCGACTTCTTATAAACATATATTTTTTTTTTGTTAAATTTACATTTTTAAGGAGAAGCGAGTTGGAATAAAAAATATGGTTATCATTTTTGTTTGCATTTTCAATTAAGTACCAACCGTCTGAAAAGTGCTTATCAAACCACACCCAACCCTCAGGCAACCAGAACACAAAAAAATTCAACAAAAGATTAATATTAGTTACAACTTAAGATAATAAACTAAAGAATAAAATTAATTACCAATTGGTCAGATACTTAAACATAATTAATAAGCAACAAGTTAAGTTTATGTAAGTTATGTTTAGCTTAGGGTTTCAACTCAGTTTTACAGGATAACTGGATACGTTAATACCTATGCGTATAAAGTATTTAACTTTGGTGTTTAGTATTGGGAACATGATATTATTTCTTATTTAGCTGAGCTTGATTTTAATGAGCGGTCATGAGAGAGAGCACGAGCATGAGCATAAGGAGAACTGAGAAACTGAGAAGAATTTAATGAACATCGAGAAGAATTTCATTAAGAGAAATTATAAAAGGAAACATACTAATTAGGATATGCCAGTGCGGTTATAAGAAAGAAAGTTGATGTGTTCTTTCATCGATTGGGGAGCTCTCTGAGCTACATGAAATATTTAGGGATAGCTAGTTAATTATAAATAGTTTTTCGGGTAAGTATATAGTTAGGAGGTTACACAAAATCATTAGTTTTATGCTCAAAAAACATATCAGCTTGATTTAATGTTGTGTGTTAGTGTTTTAGTGGGGGACCTTTTTTCGAAAAGTGTGTGTTTCTCTGTCTGTTAGCGTTTTAAAGCCAATTACAAATAGAAAACGATTAATTCTTAAAGTTAGGAGTTAGATGCACGCAATTTAAAATCGACTTGTGATTGGAATGTTATTTGACTGTTTAATTTGTTGATTGTTTGGTGGTTGTTGTTGTTTTGCGAACCTGTGCTCATCGAATAATAGAAATCACGCCACTCGTCCAGCCAAACTTCGGCCACTCGGGCCGCATTGTGCAGCACAATTTTGGCCACGCCGCCGGGGAAGGTGTACGGCGATTTGTCACGGAACACGTGACCCACGTGGGAGCAGGGTATTATTTCTAAAATGCCTCCGCACTGCCAAATCTGCGGGTATCATCGATGATTGCGTTTGTTGTAATGGTTTGTGTTTGTGAGTAGAAATAAATTTGTTTCGTTCTTTTAGGTAAAATTTAAGGACTTAAAATAAATGTTTCAATAAAAAAACAAAAGCAAATCTTAGATTTATGCAAGGTCTGAATTTGTTCTGCGGCTTGGCTTGGCAGCTAAGGAAAAAAAGTTTAAACGAAACAAAAGAGAAAACGAGAAAAGCTATCTGCAAGATGTTTTGATATTGCCTTACTCGGAACGACATTTCCAGATTCTCGCCGCCCCAGATATCCATGCCCTCGTCGTAGGAACCAATCTCATAGAAGTAATCCTTATCGATGGAGAACAGACCACCAGCCATCGTCGGAGTTCGCAATGGAGCAGTTCTATCGTTATTCCTGCGCGCCATTTCCCGCGATGGCACTCGGTACCTAAAAAAGGATTAAAGAGGTATTAAAGGAAGATTGCTCTAACGAGAAAACTCTTCGCTCACCATCTAAAGTTTAGCTTCCAGTTGAAACCACCCCACGTGGAATCCGAGGCCGTGATGTACTCGAATGACTCGTCGGAAATCACATCAATGATGGGGCACACAACCGTTCGACGATTCTGCACAATCCGCGCCAGCAGAGGCTCCAGCCAACCCTCCGTGCACTCACAATGGGCATCCAGGAAGGTGATGACCTCACCACTCACATGCTCGGCTCCCAGGAGACGTGCCCGAATCAGTCCGGAACGTTTCTCTGTGCGCAGTACGAACGTCTTGACCGGCAGCTTGGCCACATACTCCTCCAGCTGTTTGCCCAGGAAGTCTATAAAATGAGGTAAGACAGAAATAAAATAACTTATCAAGTAATGAACCTCTGAAAAGAAAGATATAATCTACAAAAGCGAAGAATTCTGCATTGCTTTCCAGCTATTTCTAAACTTTTAACAGATTTTAAGAACCTATTGAATACCACCAACTTACCCCTTTCGCTGGCATCGTCCACGAGGATGATTTCTTTGAGAAGGGCACGCGGCGACCGATTAATAACACTCCAGACTGTTCGCAGCAGGGTCGTCCAAGCTTCGTTATGGAAAACTATCACAATGGATGTGGTGGGCAGCTTAGAGGCATAGTGCTTGCGGCGGCAACTTGAAAGGGGATAAAGTGAAAACCAGTTTAACCATGGCAAAGGATTAAGCACTCACCCTTCGTGTCGCACATCCGTGAGTGAGCGATTCAGCGAGATCATGTCACTGGCCAACAGATTAAACTGGTTCTCCTTGAACTTCTCCTTCATGAGATCCTTCATGTCGGCGGGTATTTTCACCGGCTTGCCCATCTCGCCCGGTTTACCCTTGGCCTCCTGAACGGAGGGCGCCAGGAACCACTTCTTTAGCACCACGCTGGGATAGGTCATGGAAATGCCGCCCGGCGCAAAGCCCTGTCCCATAATGAGAGCTCCGCCCGAATCACCGTCCAGGGATTTCTCCGTATTGATCTCATTGTCATCTACCAACTGATTGTCATCCACCAAGCGTTCGGCATTGGGTAGCTATAAGAGAATTGCACGTAAATGATTATCCACAACAAATCTAATTTAGAATTTAATAATTAAATGTTTCATAATAGTTATATTTTTTATTTTTCAATATGAATTAACTGGCTGCCAACAAAGCACTTTAATTTGCACTTATAGTTATCGTTATGAACCGTTTCATGTAGATCAAATGGTTCGGTGGAAGACAATATTTGCTGATATGATAGATAAACATAAAGCTTACCTCCACGTCGTACTCCCCGGATCGCTTGCATCGCCATCCATCCTTGCCGATGCAATCCGAATAGCGGGCGATGAGGACGAAGTCGAAGATCACCCAGACGAGTGAGGTGAGCAGGACGATCCGGCAGGTATTGGAGCGCATGCGCCCGCGCATTTTGCGTGTGAAGGTCGAGAAAGTCATGATTGTTTTAATCTCTGTTAACTATCGTTTGGTTGCTAGGAGGCTATAGTCGTCGGTTGACTGTGGATTTTGGCGATTCGGGAAAATATTTTGTTGATGTGGAACTGATGTCTTGAATTATTGCGGGGCGATCATGTTGGGACCCTGTTCTTTTCTATGTAGACGATATGTTGCTGTGGGTTGCCTTATGTGTTTAAAACGTTTATGATGCCGTATTGTGATTGGTTATTTATCAATCGTTATCAGACTTTTATCGCTCCCTCAAGCGTGAAATGTTATTAATTTTGTTGTAGTTGTTGTTGTTGTTGTTGGCACATATGGGAGCTCCTCTCGTCTCGTCTCCCTCTCTCTAGCTGTCTGTCTATGTGTCTCCCTTGCACTCTCGCTCATGCTAGCCTTCGGTTTGACCTTTGACTCCGGTTTAGAGTTCCTATTGCCGTATCCTCTCAGTCCATGGAGACGATTTCCAGGTCCAGTATCGCCTCGGAAAACTCATTCCCGGACCACTTTCAATATTTCTCTATCAGCTTCCTCCGCCTTTGAAAAATGAAGACCTTCGTTATTACTAGACTGCAAAGAAAGAAAAAAAAGAAAACAATAAACACCATGATAAATCACTTTGATATAATGAATAAATGAGGGGTAGAAAAAATGAAAGTTATGATTTCATATCGCTGCCGTGATTTATTTTTATACGCTAATAGTCAAATAAGCGCTTTTGTTAGCAAATATATATACAGATAATTGAACTCAATTTATTTTAGCGGTGTGTATTCATTTCGTTTGTTATTTTCTGAACCATTTATTTCTAATTGGGTTAAGCGCATGTGTTCGCGATTGGGATCGTTATAAATAATTAATTATGAGATAATATTAATTTGAGTTATCTCTCAATGTTAGTGAGGTAATATTTCTTTTAAGATTGCGATGTAGGTAAGCCTCAAAATAATTCGTGTTAAATGGCGTGTATTTAGCAAAATGCTAATAATTGCATGTTAATTGCCGTAAATGCAAGTTAATTTAAATGTAAAATAAGAAAGATTTATCTACCATATTAAAAATAGGATGAGGAATTCATTGAAAAACATTGTAGAAGTTGACGAAAAGTTTTGTATTTTTCTCGTACCAACTGTTTGTGGCGAAGATTCACTCACAATTTATTTCTTTGTTTATAAAAGAGGAAGTCAATTCAAAATAAAATTCTTGCAGGAAATGAAATAAGAACTGAAGTAAGCACTTAAACTAATTTCATATTTATTGATTATTTGATTTCCGATGCTAAAACATTACAAACATTTTGCATGCAGATTGCGAAACCTCTGCAGCGATAAATCGCATCAAAGCTTAACTTTCAATACCTTTTTTCCGGCTTGAATCTCTGTTTTTTCGGTGGATCCCGCGGAATCTCCAGCGCTTTGCACACCAAATGCCAAAGGCAAGAAGCAGCAAAAAAAAGACGAGAAAAAATACAGTTTTTTCTTTCTCCAAATGCCGTTTTGGCCGAAAATTCCATTGACAAAGGTCATAGTCGCAGACAAAAACAACGTCAAGACAGGCAGCATCAGCTTCAACAACAGCAACAACTCACAAGCCAAACAAGCTGTCAGAGGGAGAGGAAAGACGGCTAGAGTGACAGAGATGGTGAACGAGTACTAGCCAAAAGCGCAACAACTCTTAACGGTATTTCGCCGGGGCTTTTCTGGCTCAAACCATACCCTTTCATTGGGTATAACTAATTTTGACCAAAAAAAAAAGTGATAATTTCTTCTCTTATAAATTGCATTAATAAGTTTATTTTAAATCCCCTCAACATTTCTAAAAACTAAAATTTAAATGAAAACTGAAATGCCTAATTGTTAGCACGAAACAATATTTAAATAAACAATGTATAACAGTTTTTTTAAAATATTCAAATAGAGTGCCCAAACAAAGTATAAGATTATATAAATTTTATATTTTATTAAAGAAATAATATACCTAACATTAAATATTCCTGTCGAAATAGCTGCCATATTCCTATTTTGACCGTGGAAACATGTTTTAAAATGTTGTCGAGCACAAGCAAGTAAAAAGAATAAAAATTTGATTATAACGTCAAGAGTCATCCTCGATAAGAGTATATTAAGTTTCGGATGTTCGATACATTTCAGTTTTTGCATCCTCCGTTTTTTTGCACACATAACGTGCCTTTGAATCATTCATAAGGCATGCGACGTCAACCTCGTTGAGCGGCAAACTAGACAAGACTACGGGTCTGGGAGTTGGTAGTAGTTGGTCGTTGGTAGTCGGAAAAACCAGTTTTTCCCACCATCTGACATCACGTTACGTGGAGCACACGCAGGCCACCACCACTTCGAAGGGCTGCCTCGGGGGCAGATGCAGATGCAGATGGAGAATGAGAAGTGGGTGGTTTGGGGTTGGGTGGCGGAAAGAGCACCACTCTGCTTAAATATGCAGTTGCATGTGCAAGACCCCAAAAGAGGCTAACTTCTGTGGCGCTCACTGGAGAGCCCTTTCAGCCATGTCAAGCCATCAATAATACATTTAATAACAAGAACATGTGAAATATGAATTCCAGTTTTTTTAATTAACCCACGTTTACTTAGCTGGGTTCTGGAAAAAGCTAAATTAAAGCCTACGCACGAAAAAAAAACCAAAGAGTGCATTAAAATTAATGAATAATTCAAAGTTGATAAACTTTCAGTATCCTGAAAATAACTCAATATTTGATAAAAGAACAGTCAACCGAACTACCACAATTTATGAGTTTGTTTAAAAGCTGACCTAAAAAAAAGTTAGGATAGCTATTACATCATGCCAGGCTATAAAAAACCTTCTTTACATGGCTGTCAAAAGGAATTTCACTTCAATTCGGTTTGTGTTTGTCGTATTTAAATTAATCAAATTGAGACCGCTCTGTTTCACGGTTGTTTGTGCTGCTGCCATTCATTTGCATGCATATTCCACTATAGACAATTCAATTACAATTATGTCAAATGAATACATTTTACAATTTCTGAGTTCTGCTTGAAAAGAGCATAATTGGTCTGGTAAAATGTTGAAATTCAATTATCCCCACATATGTAGCATTGGAATCGAAATGGGTAAAGGGGGTATGTATGATGGTTGGGAGGACGGTGGAAGTCACGCTTTGTGAACTGCTAATTGACAGGTAATCAGTTTAACTGCTGAAAACAGCAACGAAAGCAAACAAAAATTTGGGGGAAGGAGGTGGCAAAAAACAAGAGTGGAATTCCATAAAGAATTAATCACTTTTACAGCACTTCACCGCAATCTATGCTTAAGAAGTAATTGGATTATTATCTAATAACCATATTTATTACATCTACATTATAACTTAATTATAATGCCATTCAAAGCAATTGAAACTACAAGAGGCTGACAAATAGTTAGCAACACCAACAACCGCATATAGGCAAATGTGAACAACAGACTCACAGTGTTTTCTAACTTTGTTATACATGCAACACAATAATGAATAATTAAACATTCTGGACTATTAGTTTCAAAAAAACTTTGTATACATAACATTAGAACAACTAATATAGGGATTTCGGTTTGGCATGTATTGGTATTGTAATTGAATTTGTTTTTAATATGAAAATATACTTGGTTGATTGGTTTAATTAAATTCTAAAAAGTACAAAGATGTTTGGTGTACATTTTCCACCATTTAAAAAGTTTTGTACGTCACTTTATAAAATTAAAAAAAAACAATAAACTTTTTTTACTGAGTGAGAATCGCAGTGTTTATTGAAGTTGTACAGTTCTCAAGAGTAATTTGGTGGCAACTCTTGACTCACTGTTCAGTCGCAGTGTCGACAGCAATTGATGATTTATGTGTACGACAATCGAGTTCAATTGTTGCCGGCTTGTGTGATTTCAGAGTTTCTTTCTGGGATTTTGAGATAATAAGTATTGAATTGTTGTCAGTTTGTTCGCCCTGTTAGTTAAAGTTTTGCAGTTTCTGTACTGCACTGCGCCATCCACAATTTTTTTCTTAATTTAATTTTCCAGGATTTTAATTAAAATAGAAAAGCGCGGCGCGCTCAGCAGTGCGCAAAAATTCGCTGCACGTAACATTGAAAAACTGTCAAACTGCCATAAATTGAAATATTCCTGGGCATCCCTCTCCGTTTTTTCTTGGCCCCCGGCCTCTATCTTGGGCGGGGCCACAAAGCGGAAGCTAGCATTTTTTACAAGGGCCAAAAGAGTGGGTGGCCTTTGGGTTCAGGATGGCGCCCGCTGAAAGCTTTTCAAGCTGCGCTGTTTATTGCCACTGATAAGGCGGTTGGGGGCGCCAAAGGGGCGGGGCAGGCCATCTATGTACAGTAGTGGCTCGAAAATTTCAAAACTTTTCGCTTTCAGGCGTTTCTAATTTGCCAAAACTTTTCATTTTATATAGCCGAGCTTTAGTAACCGAGTTATAACTTTGCAAAATATATTCTAAACAAGGAAAAGACCCAGTATTATATTAACGGAAAACTCAAGTTCTTTTAATTTTTTTCATATTTTATATTATAAATTTTTGGTGTCCTTTTTTATTTAAATAACTATTTGGATAGTCATTGAAAAAAACCTTTTCAAAATAAGAAACTTAACTTAACAAGCGTTAAATAAGGTTTGAAATCCTGCATCGCAAAAATAAGGGTTTTTTGTTTTATTCATAAGAATCGAAGGTTAAGAACAAATGAGCTGGCATCATCCGTCACGATATAATACTTTGTATACAATAGTTCTGGGAAGTTCAGGGAAAAAAAGTAAATATTCAGGATTTAAAAAAGTGACTTATTGACTTCTTAAGTAGGGTTGTCTAACCTTTATTTATTATGCAAAAATGTAATATTTGTCCAATTTATTGGCAAGCACTGTAGACGAGCTTGTAAGCGTGTTTCAACTGCACTTGGGCCCGAAAACACTTAGCACGCTTGTTGAGTGTGTGGCGCGCACTTAAAAAAGCGCACTGCAATTAATTTGATGAAAATCTGTGTCAGCTCTTACAAGAAGTTCTCAAACACGAGGCGGAAGCGATGTGAAGCGGAGATAGCTGCATAATGTTAACAGATCGAAACTGTTTGAAAGTGACGTGTGTACATCCAAACACAATATATTATTTAGCACTCGGGAAAATCTGTGCATGATGGCACTCAATTCATAGTAATTTATTAATGAATCGGCGGCTGCGTTGGCGAAGGTCACGTCCCGGTGGTGACAAAAAACAATCAAAGGCAGCAGCAAAGCCAATAAACGAGGGCAACAACTATTGTGACAACGCTTACAAAATGAAATTGTAACACAAAATGCAATTAAGAGTGAAAAAAACAGCAAACGAAACACTAACAGGAAAATAAAAACAAAAAGGCGCACAGTGAAAACAATTTGGAAAACGTAGGCAATTAAATGCAATTAATGAAATTGTACAATTAAGAGAGTAGTTTGCTGACCCGCTGGTGACCATTTGACGCCAGACTGGTTTTACACATTTGCATACAGTCGAACATGGAAGCAATTTTTGATTTGTTCACACAGTCATTTAAAATTTAGGAAAT